ATAATAACCTTATATTATTATAACTTCTAATTATAATACTAAGAATATTAGATTATTAGTATATAAAGAATATTATAAGAGAGTTATAAAAGAAATAGGCTACTATAGTAATAAGAGTAATATTACCAATATAAAGTTATAATAGATAGCTTAGAAAGATACCTTAGAATAGGCAGCTTAATTAAGCCCGGAAATATAATTTCTACTATTTTCTTTATAAAATATTATTTTTAACTATTTCAGGGCTTTTTAATAAACTAGCTTATAGTTATATTCCTCTTTAAATAACTATATTGCAATATCTAAAAGATTATAATCTTAAAATAGTCTATTTCGCCGCATTAAGGGACGAAAAGTGGGTGATAATAATTAAAGGTACTAACAAGGGTTTTTGTAACCAACCTCGGGACGAGGTTAGTAGGCGGCTGGCCCCACAATGCCAACGGGTACTTGTTCCGCGCCTCTCAGTTGGGCCCCGCAAGGCCGCGCCAACGGGTACAACTCGGTGTCCATCGTGGTGGGGCTGTCCCTACTCCCTAGAAAACCCAGGCATCAGGCGTGTTCTTCGCCATCCGAAATTTATCCCAGACCCTCCCTGCCAATATTTTGACATCCACTGCCCAAAACAGCACATTCAATCCGACGGAGCCAGCCGACCGACCCAGCACCAATGCAGCCTCGAAAGCGCAACAGCAATGCTTGCGATGCATGTAGAGCCCGCAAGACCAAGGTAACGTGCTCCGTCCAGCGCGCCCATGCGTCAATCAGCAGGCAATATTGACTAGTAAATATGCAAATGCTAATGACCATTCGCGAACAAGTGTGAGTATGATGGTGCCAACTGCTATTCCTGTGTGGCCTTGGAGATCCCATGTACGCGCAATATGCCGAAGAAGAGGAGGGGTCCTGTAAACCGGTCGGTTGTCCCTGGTATTATCAGCATCCTTCTTTGTACTGATTCTAGTCTAGATATGTCACGGCCCAACGACAGCACGAGGCCTGTTCAGATACGTCGCCTCCGTTGATATCCCATACGCCAGGATCCACGCATTTCTCGGCAGCTACAGACGCTCCCGGTGGTCTGGATCAGCTTGGTCCACCACATGTCATCACCGAGACCATTGAGGACTGGTTCGAGCTGGTCCATTGTGTCAGCCCCGTTCTACACCGCGCTAGCTTCCTCAGGAGACTCGCCAACGGCGACGCGACGCGTGACCCCGAGTTTTGTAATCTTGTCGTCTCGGTATGTGCAGCTACGGTCTCCGTACTAAAGAGGTCACGGCACCGGGGAGTGGTCACGGTCTCCAAATGCATGAAAATTATCCGCAGCAACGACCCCGGGGCTCCGCGAATGGAATTCACCCTGGAGTGGTGCCAAACCAAGTACAATCTATCGATTGCTTGTTTGACAAAATATGGGACGGACAGCCCCACTGTCATCCACCTCTTCTCTGAAGCTGCCGCTGGTGTCAGATACCTACTCTTTTCAGCCCCAGATAAACTGTCATTCGTGTCGAGGGAGCTGCTAAAACGCCTATTGTATCTAATTTTTGCAGGCCAGTGGTGAGTACCTCTTTCCCTCCTAGCCATAATAGTTCTGACGGATCTCACAGCACCTTTGGGATTCTAGGGAGGCTCCACGCGATGCCCCTTGTCGATTCCGCAACTCTATCATCTCGGAAACCGCGTTTCTGCACGGATCAGGAACTTGAACCACACGTGACGCACCAGGATCACCCTTGGCACGGTGATGCGACTTCTTACATCCCTGGCCTCGTCCACCTAGTACATCTCTTCCAGTTATGGTATCAAGCCCAGCAGGAAAGACCGGCCACGCTCTCCACTCTGCAGAGTGCTTTACATCGTGTACAGGCAGGACTTGATGATCTCCCCAGAGAACTTCGTTGGCGTGGTGGCCTGTCAAGGCCACCATGTGGTAATCTCGGCACTGATGTACAGGTCGTCAACTTATACATCACCCAAATTCATATAAGATCGAACCTTGTCGACCAGATCGACTGTATTTCGAAGGGTACGGACTCGCAAGCGGCATCTGTGGAGTCGGCCATAGAAAGGCAACGTATCATTGATGATATGCTTGCGATTGTTTGCCTCACACCCGACGAGATTCTTGAAGTTAATGGGTATACTCTAGTATTGAAACTTCGAGACATCGGCCTGACTCTTCTCAATGAAGATGTGAATACACCAAACACCCTTGTAAACCTTGATAAATTACTAGCGAAGCTGGAGAGGCTCGACCAGAATCATGGATCCACCGTCGACGAGCAGGCAGCTTCCTAAAGTCAGTTGGAACACTCACAATATGGTTTGGCAATAAAAGAAAAAAAAGAAAAAAAAAGAAAGAGGGACGAACGGAGGGCAAAATTACTGCTTTGGTTTGGTCTCGGAGGTGTGTTTATATCTAATTACATAAATCCTAACAGCAAGAAAACCTAATGCATGACGTGGACTCGTTCGTTCATAGCTCATCCTCATCCTCCTCCAGGCTGTAAGCAACAACCTCTGCAATGGCAGTCTTGGCCGGGATAGTGACTGCAATGGGGAAGCCGCCATAGTCAGGGTCTTCGTTAGGCATGATATAGAACTCTCCATGGCGGGTCTCATCGCCATTCATCACACGACCTGTAGTGAGGTTACCGTCACCGTCAACAATCTTCTCCGCGCAGTTGAGGATACCAGAGAAAGTGGACTTGGGGTTAGTACTCCTGAAAATGACCTGGTAGCCCCAACCGAGCAGTAAGAACTTGCCGTCGCCCTGGTGAATAATGATGCCGCATCCAGGTCCCGGCTTGCCAAATACAAATGACCTCATGATGGTCAATTCAAAGTTGCCGAAGACCTTGACCCACTTCTCTGGCTCATCCTCCTCCTTGTGTTCATCGAAGAAGAACCCCGTGATATCATCCGGACGATTGGCTTGCGCGTCGAGAATGTGTTTGCTCATCGACTGCAACAGTCCGTATACTCTAGTCATCGGGGTTGTCGCGGCCTCGAGCGTGTCGATGCCGAAAGGCGAGCACCCCATTGCGCCATACGTGCCGAATGCGAGAAAGACCCTGCGGGCGCCGGCTTCGTCACGCTTTTGCTCCGGGATGAAAAGGGGTTGGTTCTGGTACCGGTACTGCTGGCACACCCATTCGTAGTTGTGGAAGTAGACGTCAGGGGAAAGGAAGTCAAGGGCAGGCGCGTTGAACTTCCAGATATCCATGACGTGGGGGTAAGGACCGCCGGAGGGATAGATACCGGGCTTGACGCCTCCGGCAGCGACGAGCGATCTGTGGGGGCCAAGAGAGGCAGAGAGGTCCAGCGTACTGGGCTCGTCAAAGCTGATCCACGTGTTGGTGAAGAGGGGGATGGGGTATTCAGCCTTGCCGGCAGCCGCAACCTGGCCAATGTAGTTTGAGAAGCCATGCGCCATGAACACTTCTTCAGCTCCGAGGCCCTTGCCGAAGGCCTGCTCCCAAGTCGCGCCTGCTGAGACGTTCGAAAATCCGGGGAAGCGCATCTGGAACCGGGGGTGCCCAGCGGAGGACTTCAAATGCTTCAGAAGGTCCTCTGGGATCGGCTCGCTGAAGAGCTTATTGGCCAGCGGCGATCTATCTCTCGAGTCGCCGAGCAGGCCGGTTTCGTTTTCAACCTGTACCATGATGACGGTGCTGTGGTCGCCATCGAACTCCCGGATATGGCGCATCAGGGTGGCGAATGCCTTGGCATCTGCCTCCCATGACCGCGAGTGGAAGGGGGAAAGAAGCTCCAGAGTTTCCTTCTTGCGGTCTACCTCGGCGTGGATCCGGGGGAAGCGCTTGTGGTCCTTCTTGACCCAGGCAGGGACGTAGGTGCTCCGAGCATTCTTGAAGCTGCCAAACCAGAGAAGGATTAGGTGGAGACCGTGTCTCCGGGCATCCAGAATCATCTGGTCGAGCTCCGAGAAGTCGAAATTACCCTCGGTGGGCTCAATCATCTCCCAGTGAACTCCACCAAGCAATGTGTTGATGTTCATTGCCTTCATGTTTGGCCACACGCCCCTCATGAACTCGGCGTTGGACATGCTAGAGTTGTGCAGTTCACCACCGAGGCACAAGAACGGCTTGCCCCGGACGATGAGCTGGTGGGAGTTCACCGTCTTCTGTAGATGGGGGATGTCCTGAGCTGGCTGCATTGTGGCTGCTGATTCGGACAAATGGGGCGTGTAGGTAAAAAGTGAGTAATTGAACTGAAACTAGGCGAAATTGATGGTGAGGGGGATGCAAGAACCGTATGCTTGAAGTTATCCATCATCTCTAGAATCCATCAAAGACGTTTGTTATTTATGCTCTTCGGTCAAGATGCTTAGTCAACACGGAAACCGGTTGGTCGGCAATATTGCGCGCCGAGATTGTTTCCGCTGGTGAACGGACACATTCCTTGGACCCTGGGACTCAGCTGTGCGCGTAAATTTCGGATGTTGTTCCTGGTGGGCATCCTCATGCATAGAAGGGCTTCAGTCTTTGGCTTTAGCAGCGATTCCGAAGTTGAGCCGTGGTGTGGGCAACCAGGTGACAGGTCTGGCCAGGAGGCAAAGTCGCACGATGCTGTGGAGTTTCAGATCCGAGGTTTAGGCAATACATAAATCGTTAGTGTGGTCGAATAGGTCTGGCGGAGAGGCGAAGTGACACGATGCTGCGGATAGTCTGTGTGGCGCCCGAAGTTATTCCGCCTGAAGAGGCTCTTCCCTATGCTTCCCTTGGACTGTAACCCCCCCTACTCTCCCCGCCTCCTCGTCTCGCCCGGCTCCATGTCCCTGGAATGGATCAAGCCCAGTTTACTCTGTACTTTAACCGGTCTTCGGTGCGTGGAGTGACAGTGCCCCACACCCCTATCATACGACCATCATTCTGGGGAAGTCCGGGGCGCGTCTTCGTCGCCCCCTCAACACTATTGTCACTAGTCTCTCCTCTCCGTGCCTCGTGAGTATCTATATGGCGTGTGCCTGGCCATGAACGAAGCTCCTTCAATTGTCTATAAGAACCTAGCATGTTGCTGCGTCTCTTTCTTTCTCGGCAACCAACCCACTCTTATCTTCACCTCTTTATCAGATCATTCCTCCTTACTCTGATCAGCATCGTCCCATCATGACTAAAGTCCAAATGAGTGATCCACTCTCGGCGAGCCACGAAGAAGAGGCAGTGGCAGCACCAGCCATTGCCCAGTTGCCAAACGAAGAGGAACATCAACCTGGCAAATGGCAAGCCATCAAGAGCAATCCTCGCGTATTCGCCTGGTGCCTATTCGCCGCATGGTGCACCCTCCTGGTTAGTTTCGAAAATAACGCGTCCGGAATAGTCATCGGTATCCCACAGTTTCGAAAAGACTTTGGCAACTATTACAAAGGGGACTGTCATCCCAGGCAACTGGCAGTCGGCATTTTCTGGGGCTCCCGTGGCTTCGTCAGTTCCCCCCCCCACCCACCCCAAGAAAACTCGGCTGGATCGTCTAACATGTGCAAAGGACGGCCATAGGGGCATTGATAGCCGCTCAGGTGGCGGATTCGATCGGCCGTAAATGGACCATCATGGTCTCTCTCCTCGTTTCGTACGCCGCTATAACCCTCGAATTCGTGTCGACGACTAACCCGGTCTTCTTCGCTGGGAAGTTGGTCAACGGATTTGCCGTCGGCACCTTAGCCGCTACAACCGCCACCTACATTGGCGAGATCAGCCCGCTCGCCCTCCGTGGTATGCTGACGTGCATCATAGCCTTTGCATATACAGTCGGTCCCTTCGTCGCGGCCCTGATCCTCGACGGTATTGGTTCCTCGACTACACGATGGACGTACCGTGCCGTGTTCTGCTCTCAGTACGGATTCTGTGCCGTGGCAACCCTTTTCGCCCCCTTCATGCCCGAGTCGCCGTGGTGGTTGGCCAGCAAGGGTAAGGACGCAAAGGCGCTGCGCAGCCTTAGGTCCCTGGGATACACGGCGGAAGAAAGTGCCGAGCAGCGCCTCGCTCTTATCAAATTCACGTTGGAGGAGGTTCGCGCCGAGACGGAGGGCGTCGCCTACCTCGAATGCTTCCGCTACTCGAACCTGCGGCGGACTATTATCAGCGTTAGTCCGTTGTCGATCCAGGCCCTCTCTGGCGTGCTCTTCATCGCCTCGTATTCAACCTACTATGCCCAGCTAGCCGGTTACAGTAGCAAGATGAGCTTTAAGCTTAACATTACTCTCCAGGTCGTCTCCATGTTCGGCAACATATGCTCATGGGATCTGATCGATCGCGTCGGACGTCGCAATCTTACGCTCTGGGGCACCGTAAGCCTCACCGTCATCCTCATGATTGCCGGCGGCCTCGCTACGGCGGGAACAACCGCCTCGATCAAAGGATGCGTAGCAATGATGATATTCTTGGGTTCATATACAATAGCACAATTGGTGCCACCGCCTACACCATCCTCACCGAGAACGCCACCGCCCGGCTTCGTGTCAAGACCATTGCCATCGGAGTCGCTCTACAGAACTGTTGGTACACGATGTGGAGTTTTGTCCTCCCATTCATGTTCAACCCCGATAAGGCGAACCTCGGCGCTAAGGTAACCCACATTCTACCCCTTCCGGTTTTCTTGATTCAATTTCGACTCACTATTTGACCACAGATATCTTTTGTTTTCGGAGGCCTGTCCATTCTCTGCTGCATATACGTGTTCTTCTACCAGCCCGAAACGACCGGACGATCCTACGAGGAATTGAACGAATTATACACGCGGAGGATCCCGGCACGGAAGTTCAAGACCACCGTCACCGAGGTGGAGTCTCGGGTAATGCAGATGGAACAGAAGCTGGCCAGATAAAGGGTACGCCTAGCCGGACGAATCGGCCGAGTGTGGATAGTTATCTCTTTGTTAGCTCTCTCTACTCTACTAAGGATGCTGTGTTCTTTGTTATATTGTCGTACGTCATGTTGGCTCTCAATCATATTCACTCTCAATTAGTGGAGAAAAACGATGCGGCGAGATTTGTGTGCAGAACGATTAGCATTGACTCATTTAATAGCCTGGCTAATGCATTTACAACTGTGACTCGTAGGCTAGCTATTATATCGGCTACCCAACCCCACGAACTAACTTGTTGCATTTGCCACCAACACGACGTCCACAGAGCCAATGCTAGCCGGTAGTTTTCTTAGCGTCTGTGCAAAACAGGACACGACGTCGTTTCCCTGCATACACAAACTAGACCCCCCCCAATTTTATACAGCGTGTCTCAATTTGCCCCATCTTGCGCGGGGTCAGGTAGACATGCAAGAGGCCTTTCTGCCACAGGATTCACACCAAAATCCTCTTGTCCCAGCCATCGCTGCCATCCGCCAGACCCGGCTCTTAGCTTCTTTACGAACACCCATCTTTCCATATTCCCCACGTCACGATCAGACACGCGCAGACAAGAGCCATTTATATAGTCCACTCAATGCCACGATCGATTTGGACATAATTTGCCGATGAACAAAAGGAGTGGGTTACGAAACCTAACAATTCGTGGTGGGAAAAACGAGCAATGCCAGAGTTAAGTAGCAATCGGAAAGCTTTTATAATTCTGGTTAAATTATTCCACGCATATGAAATTCATGGTCTGATTCTTACCAGCGTGAGTTGCGGGGGTATATGACCTGTCGCAGTGCATTTGCCAGCTTGTTTTCGACTTGGCTTCGTGTTGGGCATTACAAATAGCCAACTCCAAGATTACTATGCCGAGGCCGATCGTTTCCACATTCCAACCTGGAACACAGTCGGCCCTTTTCGAAGTCATTGTGCCCATGCAGCGCCGAATAACTGCCGGGACCTACAAGCAGCGCTTCCAGGTCCCAGCTCGGCGTCTCGCTTCTTCAACTCCCTCCGGTCTTCCGTGGCACTACTCACTGTCAATTGTTACTAAACATGATATGATAATGGTCCCCGTCACTCAATGCGGTGAGTAGAAACCAGTCTCGGCTTCGTCTTCCTCCGCTAAGTCCGGATGCGATGTTAGCTTAGGAAGCGGAAGATTGAGTTAATCGGTTGCCATGCATTGATCTGCACGAGGTGCCGGCTAAAACAACGGACCTATATCATGCAGTCATAATTCTGCCGGAACTTAATCTTGGCTACGACATGAGCCGGCGGAATGCTATCCGTTAGGGGGGCGATTTTTAGTCCCTTCGAGTACTAAACTAAGTTGCCCGAGTGCCGGTGCTCGATTGTCTCCAGTGCGGAATCCCTTCTCCGCTTCTCCGCTTCTACGCCTCTCCACCGTAGTTATCACCCCCTGATCCCAGTGCTTGGTAATCGCAGCGCCGAGCTTCAGCCTAATATAGGAAAACTGTTATTCCGAAGGTTACACTCGCAGCGTTCAGTGTCCGGCAGGTCACTCATCGAACTTAACATTGAAGGTCTAAGTAGGGCGGCATCATGTTTACGACTGGAAACGGTAATCGACATCGAGACAGAGCAAATTTAAAGAGGGCTTTCGTATTGAATAAAATCCGATAAGGGGAGTGAGTGTATTGGCTTTATACAACGACTAACTACATAATAACCTTGTGTAACAGAAGCTAAATCGTTTACAAGCTATCAGCCTCCCACATATACAGTCCGTAAGGCGTGCCCTTAAAATCCCACTGACCAAGTCTTCTGCCCGAGTCATTGCCAGCGCTTGCAGCAATAGCAATATACGGCATCAGATGCTCCACACTCCCAGGTACATGGGCCAAGTGTCTCCCCGGGGCCTCAGGCCACCCACGAAGGAACTTCAGCCTTTGTCCCTGGTCTTTGGTCTGCGCGCCATCCCGCAAGAAGTCTTCGAACAGCTGAATTTCTCTCGGCGGCCACGGCAATTTATCTTCCGGATCAAAGTAGGCAGCACCAACTACCGAAAAGTCGTGGCAAGATCCGCCGCTGCCCACAACGGCAAAGCCCTGGTCGCGGAATTCCTCGAGCGCCTCTCCCAGATGGATATTCTTCTCGGTAGCATCTTGCTCAGAATCACCCCTCAGGATGGACATCTGCACGATTGGAATGTTGCCGTCCGGGAACATGATGCCCAACGGAACATACACGCCGTGATCCCATGCGCGATTCTCGACCACAGGAGTGAAGCCTGAAGTACGCAGACGCTCGGCAATAGAACTAGCTAGGTCTGAATTGCCTTTGCCTTTGTATTCAATCTGGAAAGCCTCCTTCGGGAGCTTGCTGCGCATATCCTCGAGATCGTAGTCGTAGAAGATCTCCGGATTGTCGGAGCCGGTGATGTGGGGTTGGTCCGTTTCCCAGTGGGCTGTCAGGAGGATGATGGCTCGGACATTGTCGAAGTAATGAGCCTGATCGCGGAGCATTTGGCGGTAGGATTCGTGGTCTTCAATGAAGACGGGGAAGGGGCCTCCGCCATGGGAGATGAAGAGTGCTGGTGCACGCTTGGTAGACTTGGAAACCACCATTGGATAGGCAACTTCAAAGGATTATGCAAAGCAATAGAGTAGTGGAAGGATCATGCAAAGCAACAAACCGTTGGAGCAATACTGACTGTACACGTGTACAGAGGCTTCGCTTCTGAGCCTTGGCTTTATACTAAGACTTTCAAAGCACGGCACAGGCGTAGGGGCAGCGTGGCATCCATAGATGAGAACTAACTTGACCAAGATTCTGTTTCACTACCCCGCGCGGAACCTGTCAAATCCACGGACAATTGCCAAAGTGCGAACTCCCGATGGTCGTCGCCCACTTAGCGTTGCCCCGCTTCGCGTTTCGGCATCGTCTGGCTTAAACGCGAGACAACGCGAGGGCGACGGTCGCCGAGTCCGAAAGCTCCAAGTATCTCAACTGTTGAACTTGTAGTGGCTCCCCGGAATTAACTTTCCATATATATGCACCAGAGTGCCGCTGTGTTTCAAGACGCTAGCCGTAGATGGTCACGCTCTGAACTTTCGACTTGGCCAAAGTTTACTTCACCAATAATTACCTATTCTTCATTAAGCTCTGATCAATCATGTCCTTGACAGTTGGAATTGCTGGCCTAAGCGGTCGATTTGGCCGTCTCATTGGCGAGATCCTCCTCAAACGCCCTGCCTCTGAGGTCAAGTTGCGTGGCTTCTGCCGCGAACCTCGCAAGCTCGCCAAGTCGCTATCTGATAACCCTCGTGTGGAGGTTGTCCAAGGTTCCGCCTTCGACTCTTCCGCCGCCCGCACCTTTGCAAAGGGCTGCGACGTGGTTATATGCTGCTACCTGGGCGCTGACAAGCTTATGATCGACGGCCAAAAGCTCCTCGTCGATGCGTGTGAGGCTGAGGGCGTCTCGCGTTTCCTAGCGAGTGACTGGACGATCGATTATACCAAGTTGGAATATGGACAGCTTTTCCCCAAGGACCCAATGAAGAGAGTCAAGGACTATTTGGATACGAAGGAGCGTATCAAGGGGGTGCATGTCTTGATCGGCGCGTTCATGGATACTTTCTTTACGAAGTATTTTGACGCCTGGGACCCAGAGAAAAAAGTGTTTACGTTCTGGGGAACTGGTGATGAAGTGTTGGAATTTTCAAGCTATCGAAACTCGGCCGAGTATACCGCCGCGGTCGCGCTGGATCGGAAGGCTGTGGGACTGCAGAAGTGTGAGTGCATCATAACACGATGCCGGAACTTGACCATTCCTGCTAACATGTTTTCTTCACAGTCCTTGGTGACCGTGTCAGCATTAAGCAAATCCTTCAGCATTTCGACTCCCAGTATAGCTTCAAGCCCGAGCTCAAACTGGTCGGCTCCAAGGAAGACTTGTACAAGCACATGTACGAAGTACGGGAGAAGGAGCCCGATAATGTCTTCAAGTATATGGTCTTGTAAGCAATACCGTCACTGTATAACTCTTCACAGAATTGAATTAATGTCTGGAACAGATTTTACAAGTACTACTTGATCAACGGACAAACCCACCTCGGAGCCATAGAGAATTCGAAATACCCTGACATCAAGCCGGAGACGTTCCGAGACTTTTTAAGAAGACATACCGTGGACCAACTATCGCAAGCAGTGGAGGCTTTAGAACACTAAGTGTGAGGGATTCGCTGCATATCGACCCCTACTTGGTTCAGTTACCTATCATCAAGCTATAGTACAGAAGGACTGTCTACTACTGTACTAACTAAAATATCCACCCAACCTTTGCCATAGATCACTCCGTTTTTTTCTTTTCTTTTCCGGGTGGTCGCAATTCCTCTATCAATTAAAAGAAGGCGCTTGGGTACAAATTGAATATACTCGAGCAAGCAGAAAGATTGTAAACGCATGATTTTAGTGTAATGGATATCAGATAGCTTTATTATATCTATTCCCGCTATAACCTCAGCTTATATATCGCGATGATATATATGATCAGCTGTGAACATCAGAGACTACCAATGATTACATTTAAGATTCGCTTCTTTATAACTTTGGGGGATGTCAAAAGAGGTCTGGGAATCAGCAGGCAGTGGCTATCTAGCCACAAATCCCCACTGTAGGGTATACTCTCTGGTGGAATCTGTATGCTTTCAAGCCGTACTTGAAGATTCTGTTGCAAGCCGTTTCGTGGAAAGCGTACCTTGTATCAGTGTATGTGATGATCAAGTCTGAATAGTATCTGCAAATGAAGAGCCTAACCAGACGATCAGCATTTTGCACATCGAATAGTGAGATGGAAGCATGCCGTTGCATGGATCTTGTGAGCTCACAAAGATTGGGCGTGAAGTGACGAAGTCTTATTGGATTGAGGAGCTCGAAAAATGTATCATGATCTACTGCTACGATGAAGGCTCTGCACCAGCAGATTGAAGTCAGATTGCTGTCTAAGCTAACAGGACCTGTTGTGGCCTCAGAACGATAAAAAGAGAATACCTGCCTCTGATCCGGCTTCGGTTTCGGTTTCGCTCCCGGGCCACGCGGCGGTAAGCTGGTAATTTCCGTGTTGATCTTTTCTGAACTGTACGGCAAAGATCCAAATCATCACCTCTGCCCGCAGTCTAGACCAATTCTGGAGGATTAAATACGGATGTATGCGAAGCCACACGCCGTTACGTCAGGTAATCTTTGATTAATAACATGAACCTTAGCCAGAAAAGCTGGCGCACAAGACGGTGTGGAGAACGGAGAATAGCCTTTGTCCGACGAAGGCCGAAGTTGATAGACTGCCCCAGTGGATAACCTAGGGACCAGGGGTCTGATTTTATTAAGCTTGTCATGATTTGAAAGGGGCTGTCGGCGGAACTAATGCTTCGGCTGGTGTATTGACTACAATTCCATAATGAATGATCATGGTAATTTGCGACAACGTCGGCCAATTTTTACCCTTCAGCAGACTGACCCCATCGTAGCTATATTATCAAGATGTATTCGCCTCGACACGCACTATTTAGCCTTGCAGCCCTTTTGGAGGGGGTCCTAGAAGTCACAACACTGCAGGCATCTCATTATCAGTCAATCAATCAATCAATTTATTAACGCCCGGCGGCCGAGCCGAAAGGGCGCTGATTAATAACATGCATATACGTTGCTCAAATTGTGTCCTCGCCTTCGTCTCATTATTTCACTGCTCAAAGGGGCAATACAACCTCCTCCCAGTGCATGGAAAAGTCCATCTGGCACGGACCTGCGACTGAAGTGGGTTTAGTGCATTGGGGGGGGCTTATGAAACCTTTTACCGGATACTAAGTGCTTTACGATGATCTTTTGCTAGGATAACGGCTGTAAAATACGACAGAGTGACGTAAACAGGAGGGACCGGTCCGGCAAGCGGCCCGCCAAAGGAAGCCTGGAGGAACTGTGCTGGCGTGATGAAGCTGGTGAAGAAGGGCTGCTTGTAGGTATTATCAGTAAGATGGTGGATTTAAAGTATTCCGATAATCTGGGTGGAGACAGGGCGGTCACCCGTGGCAGAACCCTGGGCCCCAGTTTTAATTAACAGGAACTGTCAAAGCTGTTGCGCATGACTTTAGCGGATCGGAGCACCCCTCCAACAGATCACCAGTAATTCATAGGGATTATCAGCAATTCCTATACCAACCCTTCCAATCCAGTTAAGAACCATAGGTATATATACACTCATTTTCTCTTAAATAGTAAGTCCAGTATAACACACTAAGTATATAAGACATTTATTTAGTTAGCACTTTCTTAGATAGATAGTCTAATAGCCATTAACATACAATTTTACTATTACTATATCGTAATTTATCATACTCAATATAACATTATAATCTATTAGATTATATACTTCTAAGTCTGGAACTTACTGTAGATATAGATTAGACCCGACTATCACAGGAAGGTTATGTTTTTAGTCAATATTAGCAATCTAGTTATATAACTATGCCCTTCTTTTTCCTGCTATAGTTCTCTTACTTTAGATTGGCTTAGGAGTGCTTTGTTGCTTCCTCTTATATATTGGAGTAGGGGAAGTAGGATTAAGTTGGTCATCTAACATTTGCTCTATATCTAAACTACCATCCATACAATTGCTATCTAAATTGCCAGTTAGCTTAAGAAAGAGATTTAAAAGGGATAAGACATACCCGAACTTAGAATTAGAAACACTAGATTAACATTAATTGTAATTAGAGTCAGTAGTATATATTTTTCTCCAGAATAGGCTAGCAGTTTAGTTGCCTTATAATCTAAGTGCTTTAATAGTAGTATTAGGAAATTAGCTTTCTTTTATAGAGACTGCTTTTAACTACAGATTAGAGATAAGAATGGGTTTCTACTCATAACGCCCCAGGGCCAGCTAGTTGTAGCAGCGTAGGCAACTTATTAATAGGATTTGACGATGTGGGCATGAATATATTATATATAGATAGGGCACTCTGCCAAATAAATTCCCAATCGTCAGGGAGAATTACCAAGATCCGGACGGTGGAATTAACGACTTGTAGGCCTTGAATAAGATTGCAGTTAAGGACCCCAAGATACAACCGCTACATACAATCCACGACCCTTTAGAAAAGGGTTCACAGCTTGTTGCATCCACCGAGAAGGGAACTCTATAGCTATTACTTTATGGGGAAGAGGAGGAGGATGTGGCATATATATATACCTTTATAAGAAGGGCAGTCATTCTCTAGCACAAGTAAGAACCCAGCTTTATAAACATCAAAATCTTACTTAGCAGCTCTAGCTAGATATCCTTCTTAATATAGAAAGTATCTAGATTAATAGAACAGCAAGGGATATATATACTGAAGAGCTTAGCCAGGGGGCATCTTTGTTGCTACTATTAAGAGTTAAGGGATAATACTATAGAATTGTAAATATTAATAACCTATATAAGTAGGATATAAGAAGATATATAGAGTGAGGCTGCTATTGCATAGCAGTGCTAGTATAACCTATATAAATTAAGTTTCTTCTATCTCCTATCTATCTAAACTTATACTATAGAAGGTAAGTTTATTTAGATAAAGTTAGGCGACTATAGTAAACTATTTCCCCTTTTAGTCTCCTCTAAGGTTGCTATTCTTACTCTAGAGTTAAATATGAAAAATAGTAAAGAAAGGCTCGAGATCTTATTATCTTTAGAATTAAAAAGGCACAAATAAAAATCGAGAATAAACGCAGGCTAGATAAAGAGCAGGAAGATCCCAGCCTTAAAGTTCCCTGTATTTATATAGTATAAGCTAGCTAGGAGGATTTTATACTAGGCTAAGTTAAAATAGTAGGTAATAATAAGATCTATACTAATTACTCCTTACTTATACTTATTTAGTAATAGAGATATTAGGCAAATAATAGAGGCTAAGAAAGATATTATATTAATTATAATAGAATTACACATAATATTATAAGTAAAATAAGTTTAGGAGAGATAAGGGTAAAGAAGATAAAAATATTAAGTTCTTCTTCTTAAAAAATAGTAGCTTGCTATCTAGATATATACTACTTTTAGTAATATTCTAACCTTAATATTAATATAGTATATTACTATACTAAGCTAGGTTCTAAAGTATAACTTATATAATATATTACTATAAAGTATTAGTTAATAGACTGTTATATCTAAAAGCTAGAATATCCTGGGTTAAAGAAAGGGGTTAATAAGAGAATAATAACTTAAGGTATTAGTAGAAGTAATAGAGTTTAAGAGGGATCTCAGCAGAAACAATAGATAGCTATAAATATAATAATAGTAATTAGAGCTTGTAACTCTATATAAGATAGATTTAGAAGGGGATTTATACTATAAGTCTGTTACTTTACTCCTCTAGACCTTATTATATACTTCTCTCGCCCAGAGAAAGAGTCAGTTTTAGGAAACTTATAGAGTTATTAACAGAGAACTTACTAACATAAGTTATCACTATATAGCAATATATTTAAAGAGGAGCCTTGCTAAGTACTTTAGTATAGCTAAACTACATAATAATCCTTCTTTCCTACCCACTCCACCACAGACACAACTGCCTAGTTAGCAGCAGCAGATAAGAACAGAACCTTAGAGTAATAAGAGTCGGGCTATATAGGAAGCAGCGCAGCAGCAGTTGGAAGAGCAAAGGCAACGCGAGCGGGAGGCGATACAATATCAGCAGCAGACGACACAATAGCTGCAGATAGAAGAGCGCCGGCGCCAACAAGTAGAGAAACAAGCGGAGACAATTCGGCAGCGGGAAGGAGAATGCCGCCGCCAATAAGAGGAGAGGATACAACAGCAGAAACTAGAAAGAGAACGCCACCCACAAGCTGAAGAGAGAAGATAGTAGCTAGAGAGGCACCATCGGAATTAAGAGGAGGAGGCTCGACGTCGAGACGAGATGGCGGCACATACAAGCAATCGCCGTCGCCGGGCTAGGGAGGCGAGACAGAAGCTAGATTTACCAAACCCAGAGTATGAATCCTTCTTAGGGCACCCGAGGTCTCTTAAGCGCGCAAAGACTGACAATAACCAGAAGACGTCGTCGGCCAAGGCAAGATAGACCTTCTAACGCCATCCCATCCTAACAGGCAGTTTCTCCTGACCTGATATCTATAGAGATGATTATGCGGCAAAAAGAAGCGCTACGCAGGCTGATATAAGCAGTAGAGCAGTCCTTCCAAGAGAAGCAAGCGGCCTCGAATCGCCGTAATTAGTACAACCCTATGCCTGCACACCGTAAGATCGACACAGTCCAGTCCTTTCTGAAAGCCTTCCACGATAAAGGCAGCATAGAGATAGCAGTATGCTCGGTTTGCTACGTACAGAAGAAGCCACGGGACCTAGATTATATCAATTAGAAAAGGGCGTTGCCTAATGAGATTCGTTCAGCAATGACCAACTTACTGGTGTGTAAGAGATGCTTCCCAGAGGGAGATGGCGAGACTGCAGTGCCGATATACTTTACCTATCAAGCGGCTTTTAATCGAGGCAGAGTCCTAGAGGCATGCATGGGGAGCACAATACTCATCAGCTGCGAGCATAGGTATCCAAAGAAGCTAAAAGACCTTACCCCTCTCAAAGAGAAGCTAATCTCTCTTAATACGGTATATGGGTTCATCACCAAGTTTAACATCCAGCATGGGCAGCTAACCGGCCCGATATATCAAAAGTACGTTGTGGGTCATATTACGGTATTCCCTAATAATATGGAGTTTTTGGCTGCTACAATCCTGCCGCACCTACTTGTATCGATACTGGAGTAGGTGCATGTGATTTGGACCGGCTTAGAGCGGCCGACGCCTCGAGATGTAAGTAAACTGCTCAGCATTCGACCTGGTGCCCTCCGCACAGCATTACAGTAGCTGCAAGCAAATAACCCCCTTTATATTGATATCGTAATCTACAAAGAGAAGATAGAAAGTTGGGCCTTCAAAAATAGCAGCAATATACTAATACAAGCTTACCAATGCATGATAAGGGAAGAAGAGACTGCAGAAGAGCTTATACAAACAGTATAGATTGTGCCTCCAACAGATCGAGGGCAGAACCCTCCTAATCAAGCGTTATCAGTCGAGGATATTGCAATAAAGCTAGTAGAATGGTCTAAGTATAACCCTAGACAATCTAAGCCTATGCCGCATAGCATATAACAAACCCCTAGCTTAAAGAAGGCGACGGCTGAGGAAATGTCCAAGCGGGTATTTAAGCTACACTCCTCGGCAATATTCTCGATCGATAAGCAGGCTACCTTCGCAGAGGAAGACAAGCTAGAGTTTATCAGTCTGGCGCTTCAGGCAGAGCGCCAGTTCGACGATAGCTACGAAGGTGGTGCCGGCGAGGTCCTGTTGATATATATTTATAGCTCCTCAGGTCGTCCGTTTATCCGGGTGTCACATAGGCACAAGTTCGCAGACGGCTTTTCCCCAGACTATTTCCCAAAAACCTTCCCTAGTTGCTTTTCTTATGGCCGCGGCGGACCACAAGTAGCAGACCGGAACGAGGCAGAAGACCCAGTAAATCCCCTGCTACAAGATATAACCCTAGAATCTTGGGCTAAGGTTATTCTGCAGCAGCATAGCGGGCATTACACCTAACACCCTGCCTTTTCCTTCCTTATATTCAATATAATAATAAGGTCTCGGAACTAATAGATTGCCCAGGGCTGCCTTAAGTAATCGGCTTTTTAATATATCAAGGGAATATACTAGAGGCTAATACCTAAATACTTATACAAAGTGCAAAAGAAGATATTTAAGACGGGAAAGACTATAAATAGGGAGATTATTATACTTATAAAAGAACTCTCACTCTATAGAAATCGGCAACCTTTATTAAATGAGAGCTGTCTATCTATACAGAAAAAGATCTGGTCGATAATAGTAGCATTCAGCCTCACAGCTATTTAATTTACCCTAAACCCCAATAATATTAACAACCTAGTAAAGCTAAAGCTTGTAGCGCATAGAGGATGGGATAATAAGGCTGCTAGAGTGTTACTTTATACTCTAAGTATATTACTACAGGTAATAACTCTTTTAGTTTACAACTCTTTTAGCTTAATACTCTTTTTCTTCTATAAGATTTCTCTTTTTTTTAAGTATTATATTTGTGTCGGGCAACTATTTATTTATGGGAATATAAGTTATTATTATATAACTATTAAGACTAATAACTGTAGGGCTCTCTACCTACACAGCCTATTATAATTAGATAGCAACCTAGCCTTATTAGATCTCGTCTGCAATATAGCTAATCCTAATAAGGGAGAATACCAGTTAAAGATAAAGAGCTTTATAGATAGTATATTTACTGCAACTCTAAATAAGATTCTAGTAAAGAAGGTAGTAGAGTATAGTAAGAAAACTACTATAATTAAGTCTAAGTTTATACATAATATAGAGTAGTTATTAAGGAGATTTAAGTATAAGGCCAACTTTATTATATCTTGCTACTAAGTCCATTACTATATTACTATATATATAAAGTACTCTATTAAGGAATTTTTAAAGGCAGGCCTAGTAAAGTATAAAATATAGCTATACTATTTCCAGGCTTCTTAGAAACTTATACTGGAAACTAACTTTATAGATAATAGCTTACTTAAAGTAAAGAAAGATTATTATATAATTAATTAATATAACTAAAGTATAGCTATAAGGCTATAGTATAACTATAATATATTAATAATTCTTATATAAAAAAAAGAGCTGGTATTTATATACTATATCTACAATTATACTATAAAGCTTAATACTTTTATATAGAAGCAGCTTATTCTTATTATAAAGCTATTAAATTTAGCCTGCTAATAATAAAAAAGACTAGGCAATTTAGGTATTATATTAATATTAATATTAATATTAATAATAGCAGATAAGACCAAATTATTTTTACTATATATTGTAAACTGAATTTTCACAAGTAGAAAGCTTTTATAACTTAAGATACTTAGCTATCTACTTAGCTTTAAAACTAACTTTATAAACATTCTTACTTAAATCTGGATATATCTTAATTTCTTATACTAAGCTTATACTAAATAGTAGCTAAGCCTATAAAAAGCGCTATTAATACTTAGTTAAAATTCACAACTAAATAATATTTATTTTTAAATAAATAGCTTTAAGTTACCCTACTTAGAAGCTTATAAACACTACAGCCTAATTCTCTAAGACTTTTACTTCTATAACTATATATTCTTTGTAGTTTTAAAAAAGAAACCATCCTACTAGAGAGGTATAATACCAATTCCTTTTTTACTAATAGCAACTATCTATAAAAACTGAGTCCAATATCTTTAAACTCTAGGTAAAACAGCAATACCTATATTTAATAGTTATCTTATAAATAAGTTCAACAAATAAGATAAAGTCTTTATAAAAAAGTAGCTATTAAAATCCTCTAATATAAAGAAAAGTACTTATAGTATATTAATAGAAACGCAATCTTATACCTTATCCTATTTATTCCTTAAAATAGGTTTCAAGGCAAGCTAATAGATAATATACCTAGACTTTAATAAAGGTTCTAAAAAAGGCTAAGTAACTAAGTTCACTCTTACATCTATAATATCGCTTTATTACATATTTCTACAAAGGATACTCAGGCCAACTATAAGATTCAAGGTCTAGACTAGGACTTTAAAGAGATCGTAGATGCACACGCCTTTAGCAATTAAAGCGGGGATAAGAATAGCACCAGGGCGAATGGCGAGAATATCAACTCACAAGAATATTATAACGCCTTTCTGGGTGTCCTATCGGCAGTCTGGAGGAGCAAGATCAAAGACATACCCGTGAGTTCGGCGCTGAGATACTTGCATAAAGAGGCGACGGCAATTAATATAGGAGAGGATAACAGCACCGCCGCCCAGCGGGGCCAACAGTTCTACACGATGCTACAAGACATTTAAGATTCACCTTTCCGGGGCACGGGTCTCCTTAGCCGGGAGGAAATCAATGCAATATTGAAGCTCTAGAAGAAAGAAGACACCAGTGTTAGAGTAAATATTCAGGGCAGGGAGAGTAATGCGTTGTCTGCGCATGCTAATGGGCCCTATGGAAGGCTGGATGTCCCACGGCAGCTCGCTTAGATTGAAGAAACTCCAGCTAATGGGGTTGGACCGGGGGGCTAGATGCATCTTGAAGTTGGCCCTTATATATTATATGTCGACGTCGCTCTAAGTTTGGCGAGGCAGTAAACCTTAAATAAGCTACAGTCGATAGCAGTACTACTACTAGTAGTATTCCTCAATAAGCGCGGTACTCGACTTTAAGAAGAGGAGGGTAAGTAGCATCTCCAATATATTAGCAGTAAAGGGGGCACGGGAAAGTCTCGCATTATATATACTATTAAGGATATATTCCGGCTAAAAGGCAGCCTTTATATGCTGCTTCTAACGGGCGCTAACGGAAACGCAGCTGTACTTATTGGTAGAGTAACCCTCCACTCGGCATCCAACATCGGATTTGAAGACAAGATAGAGACTAGGAGGAATGTATTAGAAGAAGAAAAGTTACATTAGAAGAGCAAGACTATATTAGTCGTTAATAAGATCAGCCAGGTAGGCGGCATTACGCTAGCATCTGTAGACAGCCGCTTGAGGCTGTATAGAGATGACGCGCATCGCCCTTTTGGTGGGATCCCAATCGTCATCTTCTTTGGCGACTTCTTCCAGTTCGAACCGGTCCGACAGACCAGCCTCCTCTTAGCAGAGCCTAGAGACCACAGCAGACAGAGATCGGAGAGCTTGGCAAAGCATATAGCAGCACATAAACTGTTCCTCCAGTTTACAACCGTCGTCATACTTCGCGAACAGGTCTGCACCGCCGGGTATGCAAGGTTGCGTGGCTTCCTCCAGCGCCTGCACAATGGGCAGCAGACCGAGCTGGACTTCCAACGGCTATGTCATCGCTTATATAACCAAGCATCCCAGCTATCTTTCGCCGATGGGCTGCGGGCGATCACACCTCTGAACCAAGATAGGTGGGACCTGAATATGGCAGCCATCATGCAGTAGGCTCGCGCCCAGGGCAAGCATATCTCGATCTTCATGGCAAAGCACGACACTAAAGCAGGAAAGCGGTTGCATGTAGAAGAGCTATGCGACGTGCTCCGCTACGGAGACGACTTACAACTCCCAACCCCTGGGTTGTTCTTCTATATGCAAGGGATGCCGGTAGTGGTAACCCGGAACCAGCTTACTGGGTTGAAGCTGGTCAATGGGGCGCCCTTTAAGGCAGTCGACATCTTTCCCGACCTTACCTGCGGCACTATTGCCCTCGCCAGTGACGTGACGCTCCACCTGGGCCCCCCGGTAGCCGTTCTTCTCCAGTCAGATGATATTGCAGACCTCGCAGTACCTAGACTTTCAAAAAATATACTTCTCATTAAGAGCAAAATAGTAGTTATCCCCAACTCTATACAAGAGAAGAATCCTAGCTCGAGAAGCAAGCCAGGCTTTCAGTTGGTCACCCATAGAATAGGACCCCTATGTACCCCCGCCTTTGCTATAACGAACCAGAAAAGCCAGGGTAAGCAGTTCTCAGAGGTCCTTCTTAACCTCAAAGGCGTTCATGGCAGCAGCATAGCAACGAGACCTAGCTTTATAAGCCTATATGAGTAGCTCTCGAGGGCGGAGAGGTGGGAGGGGCTGTATCTCTTCCGGAGACCAGCACGAGGCGATTTTATCGAACCGAAGAATATATTAGATAGATAAATGAGGGATGCTATTTATAAGCTAGAGAGGCTAGGGGACGAGACGAGGCAGCACTTCGAGCGTGGCCACAGACACAAGAGGTAGTTTCAGAATTAGAATGCTATAGCACAGTCTACCTTAGTAACCGAAGTTAACAAGAAAGACAATACTTCTCTCTAGTGCAATTCCAAGGATACTAAGGCCCAATTATAATATTTACCCTAGTTATTACTTTTATAAGCAGTCTTTCTAATTAGTTATTCAACTCCTAATTTATAATACCAAGTATACAAATATATAAAGTAGAGGATTGCTTATAGTAAAAAAGTAATAGTAAAAATAAATAAATAACACCATAAAATTGACAAAGTCTTGGCGAAACTGGACTGTACTTTCTATGTATCTAGTCAGAAGAGCCTAAAGAACCTTTCGGAACTTACTTTGTAGTTCCTCCAGGCACACGGGAAAAACTTACCTATTTGAGCAGTCAAGGCCTGCAACACCGTATTTTACTAACCTTAATGAGGCTCATAAACTACAGCTCCAGCCGAGCTTGTGCCCTTGCTTATCTTTAGGATTTACAATCCCACTGTTGGCAAAGTCTTTTCGAAGTGGTGGAGAGGTATGTCCCGTCCATCCTCGTAAGTTATGATAAACGACGTACTAATCCGAATTACTAGGGCCGAAATCCTCCTAGCGCCTTGAGGCGGCGCTGCACATAGACAGACATGGAGCAAACTCGTTCAGTGGTGGGGAATGGTGGAAGCATGTCGGACTCCCATTATCGGAGTCGGAATAATGGTATTGAGTGTGGAGTTTTTTCGGAGTCGGAGTCTTCTTTGATCGCCGTTCACCCTAGCATCTCCCGATCCAAGCCCAATGCCCCCGCAACTGAGTCATCCTATGGGGGTCTGGTCTTTAACCCCACCTTTTAAATCGGGATCTAAGACTACGATAACACAGATATAAGACAGGGCTTTGTGACAAGGATAACCGAGATCGAAAACAGCTAGCATTCTCCAGCCTTCATTACATGATATCTTCTTATCAAACAGCAATCATGACACTCTCGACACGTGCCCAGGCAACTGGTGACAAGGCCAAAGGCGCCCTTATCTGGGAAATAATCCCCAACCTCTGGGACCCTAAGAGTAATCCGGACGGATATGTTAGTCTCGGTGTTGCCGAGAATTCGCTCATGCACGACGAAATCTCTAAGCACATTCACGACTACTTTGCCCTTTCGCGTGCGGCTTTCACGTATGGCGATGGCATGACCGGGTCGAAACGGCTCAAGAAAGCTATCGCACACTTCCTCAACAGACACCTCAAACCTATTCGACCTCTTGAGCCAGCGCACGTTGATGTTACCAACGGATGTAGCTCTGCTATTGAGCACCTCTCTTGGGCCCTTGCCAACCCCGGCGAGTGTTTCCTCCTAGGTCAGCCCTACTACGGCACATTCGCCCCGGATCTGACCCTTCGATTCGGGGCCAAGCTACTGCCCGTTCCATTCGAGGAAATCGATCCCTTGTGCGAAGATGCCATTGGCAGCTACGAGAAAGTCTTGCTAGATGCTCATGCCCAGGGCCTGAAGGTGTCTGGCCTCATCATTAGCCACCCACACAACCCCCTGGGACGATGCTATCCTCAAGAGGTCTTGATTGGTCTCATGAAACTCTGCGAGAAGTACGGAGTTCATTTCATCAGTGACGAGATCTACGCCCTCTCCGTCTGGGACAACGCTGTTGACAGCCCTGCGCCAACCCCCTTCGAGTCAGCACTTACTATCGACTCAACTGACATTATCGACCCTTCCCGTGTTCATGTCATCTGGGGCATGTCCAAGGATTTCGGCGCCAACGGTCTTCGAATTGGAGTCATCATCTCCCAATCAAACCCCGCTCTGCACGCTGCCATGATTGCTGTCGGCCTTTACAGCTCGCCGTCATCTCTCTCTGAACATGCCACCGTAAACCTGCTTGAAGATGACGCTTGGACTGATGCCTACATCAAGACCAACCAAAAGAGATTATCAGACAAGTACACTTCGGTGGTCCAATGGGCCAAGAAGAATCATATCCCATACGCCCCGAGGGTGAATGCAGCCTTCTTCTTGTGGCTGGACCTTGGAAAGTTTTACCTCTATCATCACATCCTTCCTGATGGACGGGATGTCGGAGATGTCGTTGCGCAAAGACTACTGGCGAAAAAGGTCTTCCTTGCATCAGGAAAGGACTTTGGATCGGAAAAGAAGGGGTGGTTTAGAATTGTCTTCTCGCAAGACGAAACCAATCTTAACGAGGGCTTGGATAGAACTGTTGCTGCGCTCCGTTAGTCGTGCGCATTGTCAAAATAACAGACTAGACTCATCGTGACGTTATATAGATAAATCAAGTTTTTCAGTTAATCTTGCATCTTTTCTATTTCAACATAGCTTAGCGTAGTAGTAATATGACGCTTCGTGCCACAGTCCGACTTACAGTCACATAAGCCACATTTGATTACCACGGACAAATTAACTTGACAGATCAGTGCCAAGACCAAACGTATCAGTAGTAACCACTTCGCGATGCACATGGCACCATCGTACAAGGACAATTACTGTTCCCTTTCTAATCTGGTAGCCATGACTGTTTGCCCTCTTGGCGGCAGTTTTGGTCGTCGATCTTGAGACCAGTCCTCTACCACAATGCACTCCGAAACAATGAACATCGTCAGATATTGTTCCAAGCTCTGATAAGAAAGAAGGAAGTACTGTGAGAGGAAGCAGGGGCATCTATCATTGGATTTTGTGTAGTTATCACTTTTGAGTACTGAAGACCTGTTTGTCAACCCCGTCTGGACAATGCGAAGTATGCCGTGACTCATCACAACTAAAAGGCAATCACAGAGTCCCCGTTGCTCCACTTCGACGAGAGTTAGTGCCCGGATTGGTGATGATATAATTATTAATTCCCCGAAATGACCAGTAGAGTTCGTGAACGAGGTGGGGACAATCTTGATAGCGTGGAAAAAAAGAAGGCTATTTGTACCATACTCTTAACACGTGGCGGGTGGCGACTCCCCCGGCGACCAGATTAAAACAGCGCATGGGTGTTGCGGAATCTGAACCAACGTAGATCCCGAAATAGTCCCCGCACACCTCAGCTCTCAACAGACTTTCCATCCTGGCAACAGCGCCGTTGTGGAACGGCTCAATGACTTCCAACGTAACGCAGGATCAGCAACCTCCACGAAATGTGGAGGGCGGAGCAGAAAGCCCCGAGTCACAGCAGCATCGAGATGAGGGAGACACGGACGACGCAGCCACGGCGACCAGAAACGAACAGTACCACACCGCGTGCTTCAATTGTCGCGCGTCGAGACAAAAATGCGACAGACAGAAACCCTGGTACGTTCTATGTCGGACACTAATACTCTTGAGTGAACCATTGTTGAATCTAGACTTATACAGTTCACGTTGTATTGCGCAACGTCGTTCATGCCGATACCCAACTCGCTCCAACCGTGGTCGCAAACAAGGGAGTACCAAGTAAACATCTCCCGTCAACCTTACTGATACTGTCTTGGGTGTTACTAACCACTCAAAAGTAAGCCTGATACAGTAGAAAAGCTACTGTCGCGCATCAACGAAAGTGCCTTTCGCGATGAGGCCATCGCCGCCATCATCAATTCCTCCCTTCCAAGCCCCAATTTCACCTCTTCTTCATTGACTACGACATCAACACAGAAGCAAGCTCTTCAACGCTTCCCCGTCTATGGTACCGACTGTACCGGTGCCGCTACTCACCCTGCTCCCGTGTCTATCCATGTTCAGGCTCAGACCCTTAATGAAGTGGCCGTTGAAGCTGGAGGGCAAGAGTCTCTGGTCTCACCTCTGCATATCGTGGCGGCCGCCATCACAGCGAACTCGGAGCCTAAATGTGATGGACTCGGCACTCAGATGACTCTCCAGTCTGGTCGGATAACCAGCATGGCCCCTATCAAGGACAGGCTTACTAAGTATTTCGGTACGACCAGAGTTATTCAACAGATACGTTCAGCTTTAGCTAACTCAACCAGCTTCACATACAGCCCAACAGAGAGACTGGGAGGTATTGGCTACTCAATCAGTCGATTGCCCGTTCAAGTTAGAGTCGGATACTTGCGACCCTGTCGCGTCTCGGCTGATTGACGAGAAGGATGCGTCGCTCTACTTCCAACTGTGAGTGTTCATCGTTTCTTTAAACACGACCGTGCTAGTTGCGAACATGTGTTCGTTGCGGACTTTATGGTCAGCAATGTAGACTAAGAGATGACTCTTCTAGCTTCTTCAAGATACGCAACCCACTCGTGGGCCTCTTAGATGCTACGCTGCATACGCCGGACTATGTTTATTCGGCGTCATTCACCCTGTTCTCCGTTATTTGTGCCCTCGGGTGTGCTATTTCGATACGTCCTCGTGATCGAGCTCTGTACCCGGTGCTGGTCTCATTAGCCGCTGGCAACATCAAATGGTCCATTGCCGCATCCGTCAAGTCTCTGGAGATCATTCAGGCCATCATCAACATGCAGTATTGGGCGCCTATTTGCCCCAGGCAATCCGATGACCCTTACTGGCTAAACTTGAGCCATGTGAGAAGACAGCACACCTGTGTGTGAAGAACTTGAATACTAATGCATGGCAGGCTGTACAAGTGGCAAGGGAGATGGGAATTAATAGACCCACCAAAGTCGCGGAACACGTCAAAACCACTTCACCAAATGCATGTGACGACTTTAGGGAGCGACTGTTTCGCAACTATGAGAGGACATGGCTATACACTTTCATTGCAGATAAGAGCTTCGGCATCATCACTGGACGCTCACATTGTGTCACATTGAAGGAGATGCCTACGTGTGCCTCTGAATGGTGGAAGAAGCCAATGACAGAACCGCTAGATCGCATGATTAGCGGAATCATTGAAATAAGAGGACTGCTGGTAAGTGTCTGTTCCACATGGCTCCCTCTCTAGACTGACACAGGCACACCCAAATAGCTTCAAGCCCATGAGAGACGGAGACAGAGAGAATCGACACCGACGTCGATCCTAAACTGGCACTCAGAGGCTTACAGTATTCTTACCCAAACACGTGATGCCCGATGTGCACCCGATGGCCTTCCGTCTGCAACATTCCTTCCAATTCTGGCTTTTTACATGGATCACAGCCTCTTGGTCTTGAACGCCCAGGCTTTACGAGATGTAATGGCTGCCGACGAATCCACCACATCGACTGCAATCTTGGCAATCTCGCGAAGAACTATCGAAGTCGCTAGTCGTGCCCTCGATCTTGTGTTAGCAGACCGAACGATGTCTGAGCTATTGTTGGGCTTCCACAATAACCAGTATATCATGATATGCCATGCGGCCACGGAGATTCTGCGAGTAAGTTAATCTGTGATTGTTGGACAGTATGATCGCTGACAATGAGCTCTAGGCCATCAAACGAGGAGGTTTGACGCTAAGAGAAATATCCGAAGCGGCAGACAAAGTGATCGCGATTCCAAAGCATCTGGAACGTATCACACAACTACTTCCAGCAACATCGACAGCGCATCTCTATCTTGATCTTGCTCGCTTTTTTGGTTGTCAAGTCGACGCAATCACAACCACGACGAACTTAGAGGCGATCCGCGAGACCATCGACCAAGGAATTTTCTCTGGCGACTGGTGGAGAGCAGCTGATGCTGGCTTGCCTGATCTCGCTACTTGGCTGGACATGGGTTACCTTGGCTCTGAGCAACCGATCTTGGAGTGTAATGACTTTCAGAACACGTATGATTCTGGTATAAATGAATTTATGTTTTCTTGAAGGGCTTGTCAAGGGTGGCGGCCTGCTATGGGAGGATGGCAAAAGCAAAGCACAAGGTCAAAAAGGCGAAGCTTTAACATTGGTGGTATCTATAGAACAGGCTTGAACTCAACACCGTATCGCTTGTAAATAGACTTTCATGATTTATTTTGTTTATTTTAATATGAGGCAAAGCCTGTCGGGTCCTAGATAAAGGATGAAGCCGTTGAACCCTCTGATTTGGCCAAATCAAACAATTACCTAAAGAGGATATATCTGTCACCAATGGAGCTTACTGTTCAGAACAAGCGGTCTCCATGTTGAAGATAAGACGCATACTATGATACACAATCACGATTCCGCTGGACTGTAGTTCGCTGATAAGAGCCGACCGACTGTGTTGGTGATTGTTGGCTCTGAGCAGGTCGGGGCTCGTTGGTACACAGGTGATTGTCTACTCGACAAGACTGGGGGGCAGCCTACTGTGACTGGGCTGTATCGTCGTGCTCAGCAGTACGCGGCATTTGCAGAAGCAGCTGTTCTCTGAGTCGCTCGTTTTCGTGTCGTAGCTCCTGCAAACGTGACTTGACAGATTGTATGTACTCTTGCTGGAGTTGCCGATCTCGGCGTTTGTTTGGGTACTGGCACGTAGACCGGCTTTTCGTGTATCAAGTACATCGCGGTAGACGACGGTCACATTTTGTCTTGCGTGAATGGCAGCGCTCGCAGGCGTACATTCTGAGAGCGTTCTGGCAAGCGGCCGAAGTGAGACTCGAGATTGCGGGGATGGCAGTTGCTCAAACAAGCCTTGGGGAGAAGTTCCAGGTCCAGGTCATTTTTATTCTCAACCGTCGCCATTACTCAGCAGCCATGCCCAGTCAGCCATGCATGTACGAGAGGCCTACTCACCAAATGAATGTAGACACAGGAGAGGAGAGGAGAGGAGAATCAAGAGAAATCATCAATTTTGCTTCATGATCTACTAATTCGACCTCATAACTACTCAGCGGGTATCTCACGTCGTATCTAGCACACGGAGAAGTAACTCAGCTGGTCAATTGAAACTGGGGATAACTATAGCCCCTGACTGCCATCATCGCTCTTGATAACGATAAATTCCCCGGCGTAACTCGCGCCGTCCGTCTCATGCCTATTCTCGAGCACATCCACCTCATCATAATGATTATTAATATCTTCTTTGCACGACCCTCTTTCTCATCCAACACCTTCCCCTCAATTAAATTCTTCTTGGCACTGGCTGTTAGCCGGTTGTTAGGGCAGGGGTCAGCGCGCTGAGTATTGCTACGACATAACGCATAGAAATCTCCGTCACGACCTATCTCCACCCTAACAGGACAAATTTGCGCTTTTTGGCTCCCGACCGAGCCTGAGCTACTGACAATACAATATATCTACTAGCGAGGCTGCTCTTTCGCAAGCTTGCAGAGCAGCCTGGGAAGGCGCTGGACTCTACCTGCATCACAGATACTGCTATATCCGTACTGCCGTAGAGCCTAGCGGGCTTGCAGGCTCTTAAGAATCTTATGACCTTACTATGATTTTCAGTAGCAACCTAGTCTTTAGCTTTTTAGCTAAGCTAGACTCTCTATTAATAGTCTATAAGAGAGCTCTAAAGTTAATAATAGGAAATTTTAAGATAAATTATAATATTATAGAATAAGAAACCTAAAATTAAAAAAGAATCTAAAAGTAAATAATAGACTAGAGTTATAGAATTTTTTTTTAAAAAAAAGATATATTTAAATTTTTTATTATTTAGATTTATTAATTTTTTATTTTTAAAGAGTTTTTTAATAAAAAAGCTTAATTTATAGAATATTTAATATTTAAAAATAGCTAACGTTCTCCACAAGCAAGTGTCCCATACAAGCGAGTATCCCAAAAATCTCAACCTTTCAAATTGAATTGAAGATAAAAGCATAACAGAGCATTTAAATAATTGAATTCAATTGCTATCCTCTTCCCTAGAAAGCTCAACAACAATTTAACATGTTCTTCTGTTATAACCGGCCTTGCCGCATATTCCACAGCGGCCTTCCTTCGGTCGCGCCGACCCGCCTCGACCACTACTTCTCGACAATTCAGCCTGTACCTGTATATCAACATCCATTTGATCAATTGCCTCCCTTGCCTCATCCACAGTCATCTTTCCTCTATTCTGCAGGCGGGTTCTCTTTGCTCTGCGCTGCTTGCTAAGGGTCTTATTTGCCTGTCGAAGGATCTGGTTCTCAGACTTCAATAATACCATTTGATATATTATTGCCTTTATTCCCTTAGAAAATGACTCAAGCGCCTTAAGAATAGATACTGGAGAGCTGCTCTGATGCCTTCTCACTCGTCTTTTAAGATATTCAAACTGCGAACTGGCCTCAAGTACTATCTTTGGGGTCTTAGAAACCCAAGAGTCTGGGAGGCTAGCCTCCTCGTCAACAGGTGTTGGAGTCCGTAGCTTAATATCGAGCTTTAATATGACACTTTCCGGGTCTAAAGGAACAAGCCCAGCTCCTCTAAAACCCCCCTTGATATTTCTCTCTGTCATAGCAGCTTGATAGGCGGCGTAGAAGGCTCCTAAGAACTCAGTCTTTGAAATATGGGTAATAGAGCATCTAATTAAATGCTCAATCTCTCGACCGTATGCCTTTTTCAGTGGTCCGAAGCACCCAACGTCAAGGGGCTGAAGTAGGTGAGACGAATGAGGCGGCATATAAAGCGTGATAATCTTGTTTTCCTCGCAATACTTCTCAAAGTCGATTGAATGGTGGCTTTCATGCCTATCAAGAATTAGAAGACGATAGCGGCCATTTGATCGGATGCTTGTATGCCGATTAAAGTGCTTTAACCACTCGAGACCTGTCTCATTATCTGTCCAGCTATTATGGGTTGTAGCAATAGCCCAATCGCCCGGGAGGTTGCTTTCCCGGTACCAGCTGGCGAGGTGATATTGGCCTGCAACCACGATGAATGGCTGGATTGCCCAGCCTTCCGCATTAATCGCCTGAATGACTGTAGTCCATTCCCGATTTCCGGGCTGGACTGATTTCGGTCTTCCACGCCTCTCTGTGCCTGTAACGACCATTCCGCTTGCAATTATGCCCATCATAAAGCCAGTCTCATCAAAATTATAGATATCAGCTAGAGTGATACTGTATTTCGCGATTGTATTCGCTACGAGCGCGAACCAATTGCGAATAATAGTCGGATCTTCGCATTTAGCCCTCTGATAGTCATACCTGCGAAAGAAATGCATCTTAAGCTCTGTATGCCGCTTGACGAAGTTCGAAGCCCAATTCTTGCCAACAGGTAATGCATTGCGGTCAGCAAGCAGTCGATTGGCCATTTCTTCAACACCACGCAGTCGCGGTGGAAACCCTCGTAAATCCAAGTTAAGGATGAATTGAATAATTATCTGTTCCTCTAGATCAGATAGCTTGCGTGATTTGGGGATAGTATCGCGTTGAGACTGTATGCCTCTCAGGCGGCGACCTAGCTTCTTATGACAGACTTGATACATTAATGCGGCGCGTCGAACGCGTAATTTTGGGTTATTTTGAAGGGCACGAAGAGCAAGAAGAATATTTGCCTCACTATTTAATTGAGACATCTTTGGTGGTTGAGAATCAATTGATTAATTGAAAAGAGGAGAGTGTGAGGGATTTTTGGGATACTCGCTTATATGGGACACTCGCTTGTGGAGAACGTTAGTAAATTATAATATAGTAGAAATAGAAAAGATATAGGCTATAATTAATTTAGTTTCTTAAGAAGGTTTATTATCTTATATATATTAGTAACTAGAATAGCTAGATAGACTCTTATATATTATATATTTTATAGAAAGTCTGGAGTACTTTATACTCCTCTAGTATTAAATATACTACTACTACTACTACTACTACTCTTTCTTATCCAAGATGATTAATCTTATAGCCTCGCCCATAACTTTATACTCTATTCTAAATATATCTCGGCCTCTTAGTAAGATACCGAGTTCTAAAGATTCAGTAGCCAATAAGAGCCCACGTGGAATAATCTGCTTAGACTGGGTTTTATTTGGCTTTTATTAAGCTGAGGGAAATTGCGGCCGATCCGTCAACACCGAATCGAAAGGGATTTGGGGCGATCCAGGATTCGAAGTCTGGACCCGCAGGGGAATACAAAAACAATCCGGGGAACTCCAGTCCTCATCCCTCATTCAGCATCCATTTGTCAGCCCAATCCTAGTCAGTCTGCCACGGCACCTTTTTGCTTCCGATAGACGGACTCCGGAATCAAATTTTTCTCCCACATTCAATTGCTAAGTCATGGTCCTTGACACTCGGTGTCAGGTACCATCAAATTACCGAACTGCCTGGGTCGGAGAAGACATATAAAGCGAGAGGCCAGCTAACTGCTGTCAACTTGTCTACTATATGAGGCAGCTGCATCACTTCCTAGCCTTCTTCACTTTATCGTATTCCCACCTTTACAGTTGCCTTTTCTCACAGTATCCCATAAAAGCGCCGGTTCATTAATATGCGATTGTTTTCTTACACCACTGTGCTCCTCGCCGCCTTTATCACTGCGACAGGCGCCAGACCGGCAAATCCAAAGTCGGGAGCTCCATACTGCCCCCCACGTTCAGTTACGCCTCGGCAACAGAGAGCCATCTTCGAGGAGTTCGTACACAAGCTCTACATCAAAAGGAATATTACCCAAGCACTTCTTGACCATATGCCTGAGGATTATATCCAGCACAATCCCTTCGTCCTTTCTGGGCGTGATAATGGCATTGAAGGGTTATCGTTCGTTTCACCGGATACGGTCAACTTTACAATCGCAAGACTAGAAATGGACAGAGATATTGCGTTCGTTCATTCTCGATTGGATAGAGTCGATTTATCTCAGCCAACTGCCGTCGTGGACTTGCTCCGGTTTGAGGGCTCCTGCTTGGTGGAGCACTGGGATGTTCTTCAGGAGGTGCCCGACAATGGAATTAACCTATTGGACATGTGGTGATTCCCGTTCAAGAGAGGCAATATCTCGAAGGCGGGGAATCCAAATTAAGGGACGCACTATAGAATATCAAGGGGTTATTTGGAATCTAGAGCCTAGAGAGGCAACTGGGAACTTATCTATTCTATAACTCTAATTACGCACACTTATTTAGACAGCATAATCTAAACTATATATATATTTCTCTACAAAATTAAGTGTTTAATAGTAGTAGTAGTAGTAGTAGTAGTAGTATATTTAATACCAGGGAAGTATAAAATACTCTAAACCTTCTATAGAGTATATAATATATAAGAGTCTATCTAGCTATTTTAATTACTAGTATATATAAGATAATAGGCCTTCTTAAAAAGCTAAATTAATTATAATCTATATTTTTTCTATTTCTATTATATTATAATTTACTAGCTATTTTTAAATACTAAATATTCTATAAATTAAGTTTTTTTATTAAAAAATCCTTTAAAAATAAAAAACTAATAAATTTAAATAGTAAAAAATTTAAATATATTACCTACTTGAGCCTAGCCTATTGTTCGATACCTGACAGGGGGCTAACACTTTTTGCCACCCACTGTATCTGTGCGAATAGCAATACTCTTCAGATAACCCCTTATTGCTAGCTAGATAACCTGTCACATGCAAATGTTATGTAACCTAGAAATTCCTCCCGCGACCACATTTCTTTCCCCTTTACATCGCCTCATCCTCCATGTCAACATCACTCCTTAATAACATCCCTAATATCACCATTTTCATCAAAATTTTATGATGAATAGCGAAACCCAACACATTCATCAACGCCATCAACGCGTTCATCAACGCCATCATTAACAGCTTCAACCGCTATAAGGCAGAGCCAAAGCCGTCATAATACACGGCAGCTGAATCCGAGTATCCGTCGAACCCGCACACAAGCCGAGATCGAGGCGGATTTGCCCACATCACAGGCTTCAACACCGCTACAAACACAAGCTTTAACGCCGTCATTAACTCGATCACGAACAGCTACAAATACAAGGGGAAGGGGAACACGAGGCAGACGCGGAAGGGGGGCCCGGGCTAGCTCGAGGCTCCCAGCAACACCAACGCCGTCCGGCGATAACTTTATCCCGGTCACTCAATCGTCCCTACGAGATGAGATTGTGGTCAGGCTGTTAGACCTAGGCTAAGAGATTTCTGCGTGATTCTTAGTCACCTCTAGCTGTCATAGAATTTTTGGTATGTAGAAGGGAAGGTAAGGAAAGAGAGAAGAAATTACTGAATTTCACGTGACAGGTTATATAATTAGCAATAAGGGGTTATCTGAATAGCACGACTCTTTAAGGTAGAGATTCCGCACCGGCTATATAGCTTGCTCATCTACAACTGCACTATTTAGGCTAAAAGCATTACCTTCGGATCTGTAGCAGAGCGATATAAGATCTTGAGATTATACCACTCCTTACTATATTTAAAGCTGGGAAACAGCTTCCTTTCCTCTACCTGCTAATACTAAAAGAAATAAAATACCAGCTCCCCAATAAGATAAGACTGTATATTACAGTGCTGCAGGGCGGCCCTATACTCTATTCTTCTATATTAGTTTATCTTACCCTAGTTTATAATAATTACTAAGGTATATATCGGGAACTCCCGGCTCTTCTAGCTCTTATTAGAGAGCTTAAGGTAAAAATAGTTAGGAAGCTCTATTAGTAACTGATTATTCTATCTTAAGAGTATATAGTTATCTAGAAGGAAGTTAACCTATATCTAAAAAAGTATAGAGATATTATTATTACTTTCCCAGACTATAAATATATAATTGGGGATCTGCACTAGTATATAGATATTTTTTATTATATCCTTAAGGCAGTTATAATACTCAGACTGCTTATAGCTCCAGATAATAGTAAAAATACTCTTCTTTAGTATCTTAAGTATAATTCCCTATAGCTAAGGCGCTGGGTTTATATTCTTACTCTTCTGCTTCTTATACAGCCTTTATATAGCCGAGATATAGCCCCGGACTGTATTATACTGCAGCTAGAGCTTCTCCTTATTAAATAAAGGCTTGTTAAGAGCAGGAGACTCTTCTTTTATAGCTGCCTTACTAGCAGGTAATATAGCAACCTCGATTATATCTCTTAAAATAAAGAGTTAGCAATATAGTATTAAGGCCAGGCCAGCTAGGGAGGGGACTCAGTACCTAAAATAAGTTACTGCCTTTTTATAGTAGTAATATTCTTTATAATATAGATAGCAGCTATTTTATACTTTTTTTATTTTATTACTTAAACTTCTTTTTTTAAAACTTAAGTAATAACCTTTTTTTTATAAAAAGAAGTAATTTATTCTTATTAATTAAATTACCAGGTAGCTATTAGTATAGCAGCTAGAAGAGCTTCTTATTAATCTAATCTTTAGAAATAGATAGCTAGTTACTGGTATACTAATTTTATAGTAATATTAATATATAAATTAAGAGTAGAAAGTAATAATCTAACCTTCTATTTAACCTATTTTAATATATAATTCTTAATTATATTCTTAGATACTATCCCCTCTAAGTTAAATAAATAAAAGCCTATAGCTGTCTATATATAAGTATCTTTAATAGTAATAGAATCTATAGTAAATAGATAATAAGATATAAAGTCAGCTAGATTAAAAAGAGTTATAATTATAGTATAATTACAATATAATTAAGATAGATAATAGAAATAGTAATTAATATAATTTTAAAAGGGCAGTATATATAAAAGCAAGTTAGCTAACCTTCAGTTTTATTACTCTTTTCTATAGCCCCGTCGCATTTATATAGAGTTTTTCGCGCAGAGGCGAAGGGCCTGTGGGGAGGCGTGACCTTCCATTCTGGGGCCAGTTTGGCGGCAAAATACGCGGACCCACGGGGTCTTTAAGCAACCGAAAAACCAGTCCACGACACCCCTGCACCTGTTACACCAAATGGTATTATTGAAGTCTGAGAACCAGATCCTTCGACAGGCAAATGAGACTCTTAGTAAGCGGCGCAGAGCAAAAAAAACCCGCCTACATAAAGGAGGGAAGATAACTCTAGATGAGGGCAGGGATGAGATAGATCAGAGAGACGTTGATGCGCAGGTAGCAGCTGAATCGTCGAGAAGTGGTGGTCGAGGGAAGTCGGCGATGCCAAGAGAAAGGCGCTGTGGAACTTGTAGAAAGGCTGGTTATAACCGTTATTCTCAATTGGTTTACGCTCGTAGAGAATACAATCGCGAAATATGGTATTACCCTTGCTGATATCAATCTTTGAGTGAAGGGGGGAGTACTCCTGGGCACCCCATTCCGCTAACCTCCTTTTCACTGTTCTGACGTCGAGTACGTGCCCATCGTCGCAGAGATGGGCACATATATTGTCAATGGATAGTCCTTCTCGCCGCTGCTCGAGGATCCAGCCCTTGGCGCGCTCCAAATCCTTACGGGGCCTCGGCATTGTGCGAGACGCAGACCAGGGGTTCGAGATCGTGGTAGAGGTCGGAGTTCATACCTCCTTCCAAGGCTTCCAGCTGCAATATCCCGACCCTTCTGAACCGGCATTATCGGAGCTTCGGCGCCGATGGAATGGCATCAGCTCTGCTACATTGAAAACAGTGCGTTATTGTTGAAGGAAGCCCACGGCCGCCTACGGCGGCTGTGGCCTCAGGCAGCCGGGACCTCATACAGGCTCCAATTCCCTCGCCTAGCTAGCTCGTGATAATCATAACAATACACACATCTTTGACCTCTTGACAGTTATTATATCAATACTGTAGCCCTATATAAAAACGCCGAAAGCCTATGTGCGAAATAGCTCCAGTCATTTTCGTACATGGTTTTGTCACCCATGTGGTAATGTGCGACCGTATATTCGCCACGCCTACCTTTGGCCGTCTCCAAAAGAAACCCAGGATTAACACATTGTAAACAAGCTTCAAGACGCCAGCAGCGATAAACGCAAGCCAGAACTGGTCTCGACCTGCAAACAGGCCAGTGGTGTACAAGCCAATACAACTACCACCGTCTTGACAATATTGACAACACCCATTGCTGACGTGCGCTCTCCATCGAGGACACCAGCAGAGATGAATGCTTGTCTAGGTGCATTGTCGATTTCCCTTGATGGTATGGCAGACGACCATGGTCGGAACCTGTCCGATGGCATGGGATAGCGGTGAGGATGCAAGATTCAGAACCGATGAGATAATTCCCGCTGTGAACGTAGCAGACCCCAATGCTCCTTCGGCAATATCATACTCGCGCTTGAAGAAGTACGTCATCCATGATATCTGGGCGAGACCAGACCCGATAAAGTTAAAGATCAAGGCAAGCGACAGTTGCCACATGAATGTGAAAGAAGAGGGCGTGAACATGCGTTTCTTGTGTGCCGCTTCTGCGAGTACGGAAGCTGCCGTCTCGGGAGTCGGTGTATCCTGCTCAGCGCTGCTCACAGTTCAATCAATCAAGTATCGAGCCCAGATTTGAACTGACTGGTGGCCTTAGCGCCTAGACTTGATTGCTTGATTAATTATCTGATATAACTAAAATCCTTATATTATATGAAGCTATTCCCAATCCGGGTCAGGTCACTCCTAGGCCCCCTGATCGTTTCGGTGCAGGAAGATCCATCCGACGGTCACGCAGCCGCTACGGAGCCAGTTCTTGAGCAGCTAAAGCATCTCGATGACCTGAGGGCCGAGGGTATGTCTCTGCGATGTGACTGTAAGCTTCGCGATGCTGAATACTCGCTCACAATCAGATACCATCGCAGGCACAGCAAGGAGGTTAAGCGCGAGCCTGCTAAGCCTCGGGAACTAAGCTCGGCGGTCAATCCACTACTAGACGGGGTCATCCACTGCCTTAGGCTCAATTCTATAGTATCACTTAAGCTCGATACCTACTATAGACTGCCGCACCTGCCTGCTTCTCAGCTACTGCCTCCAGCCGCTCTTCTCGGCCCTGGGGGGTGGCAAGGGCTTCGGGCTGGTAAGGAGTTTGTTATCTTTAATATACTAATACTTAAAGTACTTCTTTAGCCCGGTCTTTATATTATAAAGCTACCCAAGCTCCTCCTCTAAGGTCTAGGTATTCTTAAGCTATAAGATACCAACAGCAGGATTAAAAATAACTATTACAGTAGAGAGAGGAGACTACCCAAGTAGGAAGTAATACTCATTAAGTTTAACCTATATATTATTAATACTTATCTATATACTCTCCCTCTTAGGGTATCTTAGAGTATTAATTAAGCTAACCTCAATAGGCTGCTAGAGTATATAGGCCGCTTGGGTATATTCAGGCAGGGTATTGGAGTTAAAGCTGCCTTGCTAGCTTATAGGGCGAGTATTATAGTAGCGGCAGTAGCTATTACCCAAGAGGTTGTAATCCTAATATCTTTTAGGAATCCTTTATAATCTTTAAGTAGGATAACTTCCTTTAGAAGTAGTAGAAGATAACTAGGCTAGTAAAGAAATATCTAAAATACTAGAAGAAGTACTTCCTACAGCTAAATTAAATAGCTTTAGGTTATAAAGAATCTTCTAGTTCTTAAGATACTCTAGGATAAACTCTATACTAATTAAAACCTTCTATAGATAACTCTAACCCCTAGCAGTACCCTATCCCTATATTTATATTATTATATTATACAGCAGCTTAAGAATATACTAAATCTTACTAAGTATCTTCTAGTTATCTACTTTTAGAATATCTTCCTTACTAAGAGCACTCAAGCTAGCTCTATTAAAGTTAAGAGTTATCAGGAAGATTATAAGCTTAGTATGCTTCTTCTAGGCTTTTTAGATTATCAGGTAGGTTAAATTCCACCTTATTATATTATTCTAGAGAAGCTCGAGCTCTATTGTTAATTCCTCGATAAAAAGATAGCTATTAGCTTCCTCTATCTTATAAGTATGCTTCTTAAAGGCTTCAGTCCTCTATAACAAGGCACAGATAAATCTCACGATATTATAAAGCTATCTAACAGGCCCCCGAGCCCGCTAGTACCTAAAATCCTCTTTATATTGCCCGAGGAGGATATAGGCGTTGGATTAGAGCTTAAAGTATACCGTATTATTACTAAAAAGAAAGGATTGGATAATAAGGTTAAGAATATAACCGAAATATTATATTCGCCGTGCCTCTACGTCCTTCTAGATTATTAAGGGTATAAAAGAGAAATAAAATGCCCAGAGGCAGGTATTATTACTACCTGTATAATTATATATTGTAACTCTAAGCTTTGACTTAATTCTCTAGTTTTTTATAATAGCCTTAACTATTAAGGCGAAGTTCTTACTAGCATATAATCCAGACTGGCAGTAAAAGATAAGAAGGCGGCTCTAATACTGCTTCTATTAGTTTAGAAAGTAGCTAAATACTAATATAATTACTAGCTGATTTAATAAAGTCTAGAGGTTAAAGTTAATATATATCTAAATAAGAGTATTAGTAAGCTTCTTTTTAATAGTTTTTTTTCTTTTATTAAAGAGCTTCTCTAGGTTATATTATATTGTAAACCTACTTAAAGCTATTTAAAAGGCCAGCTAAGAATCCAGCTGTTAAAAGAGCTTCTATATATAGCTATTCTTAAAGATAGAAAAAGATAGGTTTATATTAATAATATATCTAACGGAGAGCTTATAAATATATTAGATTTTAGCCCGAGAGTAGTTAAAAATCTTAAAAGCCTAGTACTTTACTCTAGCTACTTATTAAAGCTTAATAATTAATAACTAGTTTAAAAGAAAGTTACTATTAGTATCTTCTATAATTCTATAGCTTCTATAAAAAGTTAGTAGATATTCTAGCTGGGAAAGTTAACTATAAAAGCTACTTACTTATAAAGATATACTATATATAATAATATAAATTAAGTAATAAAAAAAATCAGCCTACTATAAGTATTATAAGGCCTATAGCTCTAGAACTTACTCTTAATAGTATTCTTAGATATTAGCTTAGTTAAAAAGTCCCTGTAGGCTATAATCCAGCTCCTTCTACTCCTACTCTTCTTCTAATTTAAGAAGCTGCTTAGGACGAAGCGTCGATTGCCCCAGATAATCTTATAAAGATCTCCGATACTCCCGTCGTTTAGCAAGGCGTTTTCTCGGGCCTCAGCAGCCTATTTGGCGATGCTCGGAGGCCGGTTACCTAGCCGTGCGAAGGCGGATGCCGTCGAAGAGGACTTGGAGGAGTTTGGCCGGGAGGCGAGCTAAGCTCCGAAGAGCTGTCTCGGGCATCTAAAGATATCGGGACGGCACTGCCAGGCGGCAGCAGAGGTTAGGAAGGGTTTAAGGCTAAGGAAAGGTCGGAAAAGAAGGCCTAGAGAGCGGCGATGGTAAGATTACGGCCCCATTATGCTATCCGGACCCCTGCCCGGAAGCTTCCGAAGCCCCTTTCTGGATGCCGTTCCCAGCTCCAAGACCCCTTGCTGAGACCTTCTCCGGGCAGGGCTTGCCGGCTGACAGGGCAGTACCGGGGCCGGTATTACGTCATTCCGCTATTAGTCTATTAGTTGCGAATAGCTTTAAATTTGGCCTGTTTGAACTGACAAAGGTAGCGGAATTGATTGATCTGATTTGTTAGACTGTTTGATAAACTGATCTGTGAGCAGCGCTGACATGTTGTTGTTGTTGTTGTTGATTAATTACCGTCATAAAGACATCTACTTGAGATATCTACAGAATCCCCTAGGAGCAAGATGACGTGCTAGGCTGGTGTTAACAGCTAAAGAAACCTAGGTATAGAAACCCGGGGCCGGAGCCACAGGCCAAGCAGGCCCGTAGCTCGGACCTGCAGTCCGCATCCCGTGTAATCCACACACGAGCTGAGATTGCAATCCTTCTTCCTCTTCTATCTAACAATTAAGCAGCCCTATTTGACCTATTATTTCGAGCCCGATATCCGTCAGCGGATTGTCAGGGCGGGTGTCGGCATACCCATATTTATTAACCAGCTTGAAATTCTCCAGTATTCCTATTCCTGCCTGCCGGCATTCAAAACCTCCAGAAATCGAGATCCGTATGATACCTAGGAAAAACTGCAGATGGGAAAACCTCGCGGGAGCTCGTAGAGGGAAAAACCACTGCAGCTAGCATCCATTGATCAGGGCCATCAAGCCAGAACCCTGATGCCTATAAGTAGCCCGATTCTGTAACTTCTTATAGACCTGGATTAACAGCCAAGATCTGTAGATCAAGGCATCTAAGACCCGGAGGTCGTAGTAGCCTAAGCCCGGAGGCCGAGGCAGGTGCTAAGACGCGGTGGCTTTATGCACCTAAGTGCCGAGACGCAGAGGTCAGGGCAGCTCAGGCCCGGAGGCCTAAGCGGTACTAAGACGCAGTGGCCTTATATACCTAAGTGCCGAGTCGTAGAGATCAGGGCAAAGGTCGACGCCCACCTAGATTGAAGCTGGTGTCGTGATTGCTGTTGGCTGCGATAGCTATACTTGCTGCGAGGTCTGAACCAGCATTACAGCATGTATAAGAGCCGCAGCGGTGTCGATTGGCCCCCGCAAGCCGTGCTGCTTCCCTGCTGCTATCTCAGCTGCCCAGCTGGTCAGGGCAGCAGGCTTCGATCATGGCCGGAGCCCTTGGGCTGTGGCCGTGGCTGCTGCGTAAAGGAAGTCAACCCTCTCAATCCTTGCTTTATTGCAGTGTTAGTACCCGATGGGCACCAGCTGCTGCAGCAGCCAAATTTGGTGGGCCTGCAAAATTTTCCACGCTAGTGCTAACAGCCGCTAGTCAGGAAGAATTTTTTTACAGGAGAGAGTTGAGCGCTGACATGGGGACTGAGGAGGACGAAAACCGAGATTACTTCTGACTTCTGGTTATTGTCAAGGACGGTCTCACCAGCGACGAAGCCAAGGAGCTCGCCTAGACCAACTTCAACACCCTCGTCGCGGCTGGCGCTGTGGAGACACCCGACTCTTTCGATATCATTGCCTACACTGAGCATGGCCCCATGCATGCCCGCGTGTCCGCTGAGGAGCTCAAGGCTGGCATCTAGGACCTGTATGCCCTTCAAGGTCTCCGATCTACCTGGTGGACCGGTGGTGCCTGGTTTGCTCAATTCCAGACCCACCTCTGGTGGTACAACGATATCCTCATTCCCAAGCTTCTCGAGGACATCTAAAGTAGCCGAGAGATGCAGCTCAAGAAGATGACAAATTTGGGGGTCAATTACGTTACTTCATGTGAATATCAATTACGAACATAGGTATATAACATGCACAGGGTTCTCACGGGCTCATTAACTTCTTTAATTCTTAATGCTTAATAACTTAGTTCTCAATGTTGAATCTCACATAGCATCCTAATTGTGTGCAGAAACTGGATTTCCCATTCCATCTCACATTGTAAATACTACTCTACCGCGTTATTCCAGCACTCACTGAGAAAGTCCTCGAGGCGGATGACACCAATATCCGGGAAGACCTTTGTCAACTCTATCCCTTGTATGTCGAAAACCCCTGACACCATCCCGATCATTTGTGGACATATTACCGAGTTGAGTTCATCCTTGTCTCCAGAAAAGTACGGATAGCACAATCGATTTGAGGGTAATTCATTGACGATGTTGGCTTTCATGTTTTCCAGACTCTCATGACACTTGTCAAATTGTTTCCCTATACTGAGTTAGGGATACTGGTCCGAGTTGATTACACGAGTGGTGAAAATACCTATGACCCGTTCTGTCAAAGTAACTAGATCGTTCAGAGTGATTCTTTCTCCCGAAATTGTGGCCTCCCTTGGCCACTTCGTAGCCTCGAGACTCAACAATTCCGTCACAAATTTGCCTACATCCCGCGTATGAGTGAACACGACGTGGTTAGTACCATCACCCGGAATGACAGCCTTGGAAGCCGAAACATCGACCAAACAGTATAAGGGGTGAAGATTCGTAACGGCATAGGGAAGTCCGAGGTAGTCCATGAAAAATCCGCATCGAACGAGGGTATATGTCATGTTGGAGTGTGAATCTAGCTCGTATTCGGCACGAAGAAACCGGTTGCGTGGACCATAAGGCATATATCTGTAGCAAAGGGACATTGTGAGCCTGAGAAAAAAAAGTTAAACGAAACTGAGAATGACTGACTCGGGTGGGGCGTGATAGTCAATGTTGAATTCGCTCGGTATGAACCGCGCCACAATACCCGACGCTGCGGCTCCACGAATCAAGTTAATCTGCGAACCCGAGACACCAGCCCAATGCAGATTCAAAGCAGAAATAACAGTATCTATTTGGAGTCTCTGCAGACATTGTGTTATCTTATGCACAGACGCATAGTCTACCTCAACTGGACTCGGGAAATGACTTGGGTACTCCCGAGGCGCTGAACCTGCTGTTGTCTAGGAGTAGAGGCTGGATTAACGGTGAAAAAAATTCATAATTTGATCAAACGTACCTTTCGCGTCAATATGTAGACTTTGTGCTTCTTGGATCGTAAAATTTCTTCCACGATTGTGCGCCCAACGTCACCGAGACCGCCGGCTACAGCCACAACACTCATGGCAAACAATGGTGCAGACTTGCTCAGAATGATAGAATAAAGATAAATAAAATTATGAGAACCTTGAAGAAAAAATCCTTGGGCTATTTTTCTTCTTTTTTCGACGTGAAGCGGAGTTAGTGGGAGGAGAGGGAAGAGAACATGGTAGACTTATAATAGTTACCTTCCTACCGGTTCCTAGACTACTCGGCCCGAGGATAGATTAAACTTCTGGTTCTCGGACTCCGCGGATTGCGATTCCGACGCAAAGTCGTCGCAGAGAAAATTTGAATCAGAGAAGTTGGCACATGGGTAGGTACTATAACATTGACAAGAAAAGCTCCCCGAATGCAGATGTGCAAGTTGTTGACGGGGATCTGCAATGATTAGAAAATGGGTTTCCAACTTGGATCAGAAAGGATTTATGGATATTTATTGAACCATTTCTATAAGCCCCTACGAATTTCAAACCATTGCCAAACCGCCATTGATCATGATGTTCTCGCCGTTAACCCATTTTGACCTATCATCAGCAAGCCAGGCGACAGCCCATGCAATGTCTTCAGGGTCAGCTAGACTTCCCTCGGAAGGGGTATCTTTCTCAAATTCAGCCTTGATTTGTTCTAAGGATTCCCCAGCTCCCTTTTGGAAAGTCTCTGTATTGACTGGACCCGGCGCGATGGCGTTGACAGTGCAACCGTACTTGGGCGGAAGCTCCTTAGCCCACACCTTAACCATAGAATCCATAGCTCCCTTGGTGGAAGAATAAACAACTAGATCCGGTTGAGGAATTCGGCTCGACCCTGAGCCTATGCAGATAATTCTAGACCCGCCCTTCACTCCAGAAACTGATGGAGGCGAGGAAGGAGTGTAAGGAGGTAAATGAGGCAGTACGGCCTGAGTGAGGAGAAATGTACCTCTCGCATTCAAGTTATAGGTATCATCCCATATCTTTGCCGTAGCGGACCATGTGGGAGCGTGAGGAACGACGGCAGCATTGTTGACGAGAATGTGGATGACGCCAAACCGGGCGACGGCTGCCTCAACCAGTCGCTCGGGGCCATCGATGGTGGCGAGATCCGCACATACTGCGATCCATGGTGTCTTGAGCTTCTTTCCAACTTCATTGCATTCTGACTCTAAATGAGGGAAAGGGTAATTCAAGACAATATTCGCTCCACGTGATGATAGTTCAATGGCGATGGCGGCCCCGATGCCCGTCGAGGAGCCGGAGATCAGTGCAGTCTTGCCGAGCATTTTGGGTGAGATAGTTGGCAGCGCCAAAGCGAAGTGGTGACTTGCAAGGTAAAAGGACTAAGTTTACAGTGATTGTCCCGACTAGAGGTGGTTGGAGATAGAAAGGGTGCTGCGAGATGCAAGCAATTAGCCACGTATTATTGTAGCCTCTCAGCGTAATATGTTATCTCGGGCTACCACTACCCGCTAGTGCCGGAAGCCGGAGACGGCTTGTATCGCGGACATTTCCGAAAGGGTCGGGTTTCCGGATCCGGGTTCCACTAAAAGACCGATAGGGCATTCCATTCCGCGAAGCATTAGCCACCACCAGTGAAGCCGAGGAGCTAGCGGTTGGGTTAGCATTAGACTTCTCGAGAAGCATACTATATCATTCCCTGTCAATTCCAGGCGTTCGCTTTTCTTGTACTTAGAAGTTATATTTCTTTCTTCTACTACATTTTTCTAATAGTCACAAGCGCCTTTACAATCGCCCTCGACCACCGTCAGAAATTGACATCTCGAGAGCCATCGTATGTGACGATGGCTCTGCTTAACCTCAGCGGTTTCAGGCCAACGTTTATGAAACGACCCAACGAGCTGCGTAGGCTGGACGCTGAGTTCCCAACAGCGTCCATGATGGTCCTAACGGTGGTGGTTGTGGTGGCTTCGTTTGTTCGGTGGTTTCGTCGCACTAAGCTCAAGGTTAATATACTACTGGCCGACGAGATTCGAAGCTCAAGGGCACGCGCTCTTGAGTACTGCTACCGCCCGAGGGAGCTCATGTTGAAAGGCTACGACAAGGTATGTGCCTGATCAGGCCACTAGCGACAAGCAAACATTGATGATGTCTAGTATCCGGATGAGGTTTACGGGATAGACACAAGGGATGGTGAGTGACGGCCTACACCCTTCGCAAACATGAAGTTGGGATCATGCAGACTGACGCTCCGCTCAAAGGCGTCAAGTTGGTTATTCCTACGAGGTTTCTAGACGACTTAAAAAGCCATCCCAGCCTCAGCTTCAAAGCATCCATCGACAATGTTCGCAACGGCCCTCCCCGTCCATTCGCTCCCCAACCCGCCAAGGAGTGTAAACTGATCAAATACAGGACATGCAAGTCGAGTACACCTACTTTGGGGGGCCTCCCGAATTTGTCATCCATGCAATCAAAGCTGGCATGACAGCATCCCTTCGTAAGTATTTGAATGCAGCCCATGTTCGCGTGGAGTGCGAAACTGACAGCACACAGCGGCATTCACCCCAATTCTAAACCGCATGGCCAGGATCAATATGCCCAGGATTGTCGGGGAATATAGAGGTAATTTTCCCAATTTCCCCTCCTTCAAGTCATCTCCCACTGTTGACAGAATGGGACACTTTCTAGATTGGACGCCTGTCGCCATCCACGACAGGATTTTGAAACTCGTAGGTACTAACAACGCCCGGGTTTTCCTTAGCGAAACCGCATCCGCCGATGAAGAATGGGTCGGCGCATCTACTGAGTACGTGTTGTCAGTTTTCGACTGTATTCGGGCACTGAAGGAATGGCCGCCGTGGATGCGTCCCTTCGTCTACCGTTTTCTTCCCGAACGAGCTGCCATTACCAGGCAATGGGTCAGGGGTCGGAGAAGAGTCCAGGCATGCATGCAAGAACGAACAATGAAGGGTGGCATTCTGGAGAATCCTCCTTCTATGTTAGACCACTTGAGCTCGGGGAAGAACTCACACATGGCGGACGACCTTGAGAAGCAAGTTCTGTTTCAGATGACCTTGGTTGCTGTTGGCACTGTCACCACATTTGCATCGACAGTACAGGCAGTCTATGACCTTGTCATGCACCCGGAGTACATTCCGATTCTCCGAGACGAGATTGAGTTGGTGCCTGTTGACGAGAATGGCATGTTCACCAAGGAGGCCATTACAGCCATGCAAAAGCTTGACAGCTTTATCAAAGAGAGCCAACGTCTAGCAGCTGCTGACTTAAGTAAGTTTCGATGCATCTCTCAAGGAACTCGCATTCGTACTGACACGACAAAAGGCACTTTTCAACGTGCTGCGACAGCTAATATGACTTTACCTGACGGGACATTTGTCCCCAAGGGAACAAAAATAGAAGCAAATACCTACTCTATTCACCATGACGAGGTATATTACAAGAATGCCTCAACCTTTGACGGACTCCGCTTCTACAGGCAGCGGCAGAACCCTGGCCATGAGAATAAACATCTCTACGTCAGCGTTGGAAGGGGTGATTTATCATTCGGGTACGGCAGACATGCTTGTCCTGGACGATATCTCGGCCACCTCAACATTAAGCTAGTTATGGCGGAGCTCTTACGGAAATACGATTTAAAGGCAGCAGGTACTCAAACACCGAAAAGTCAAGCATTTGAGGCTATTGTGAGTGTGATAAAGGTATTGCAAAGGTACTGGATTCAAATACTGATTGCACGCAGGTATCGCCAGACGCTGATTTTAAAATTCTGATGAGAAACAGAGAACTGTAGGGTCAGGACAGACGGCTAGCAAACGATTATTCGATGGAAGAGATTTGACTTTGCTTTCCTCTATTCCACGCTGCGGATTCGGACGAAAATTAGCTGTGATTTGATCTTGGAAAAAAAGAAATGTAGCAGAAAAGAGAGTTCTATTGCGTGTGGTTTTAGGGCAAATGGATGCATCACCAGTGGCATGCTTTGTGGTTACTGCTTGTTGATCTTGCCTCATCTGATATGTCAATTCAAGACTACTTTTTTTCGGCTGTTATTGCATAGCTCCATGAATGCCTCTTTGTACTGCATGAAATGTCTCTGATATCCGCTGTCCCTCATTCTAAGGCTCTTCCAGGGGCGTAGAGTAGGCTGCGATAGGTCTTATTCCAAACCGCACAAGCCAGCCGAGCGGAATTGAACGCTTGTTAAAACACTGTTTAAGCAGCCTACCGTCAATCTTCGTAGTGTTTCGTATGCCAAGACTTATTAGATGTACTAACTGTCGTTGTTCTATGAGAGTTAATTTGCCTATTCCTGCACAGCTAATTACCCTCTCAAGGTATGGTTAGGGAATACTTGACGAGCAGCCAAAGAACCCACCATTGTGCCGGATCTTCGGAAGCCGGTTTCCAATCCTGCACGCTATGGTCGGCACCGGCATCCGCTCTTAGCGTACCATTTTCTAGTGCATGCCATAGATGCAGCGAGGAAGCCCGAAATCCGGGTCGCAAGCCGGACTTTCGGGAAGCTTGAAGCCGGTTATCTGGGTCTTTGCATACGTGAATCAGACCATGTCCCGTGAGAGCTACGACAGGGTCCAAGAACTCAACGCCACTTTCGGAGCGAATGATATCCGGGTAACGTAGAGCGTAGCTCTGCGGTAATTGCAGACAGTCAATAGACATTTAATCAAGCTCAGTTTCCGAAAGAAATAAAAGACAAGATCACATCACTGACAGCGGATTCCAGAGCCGTGAGGTAACAAATAGAGCCCTTCTCCCTCATCAACTTGTCTTGACGAACCAACTTGTCTGCCAAAGCCTGCTCCCAGGTCAAACGATCAACATGGACAGCGAAAAAGTCAAGCGGATATTCTGTGCTATTGTGGGAGCGGGCATGTGTGGCATCTCGCTCGGGGATAGGTTACTCGCGACCGGAACCTTGAAGCAGGACGAGTTTGTCATTTTTGACAAGAACAACGACTTTGGAGGCGTTTGGGAGACCAATCGGTACCCAGGCGCTGCCTGCGATATCCCGAGTCATGCCTATGTCATGAAAACATGTCTTAATGCCGGTACGATTACAAGCTCCAAACCTCCTGTATTCAACCAGCTAACCTCACAAAGATTGGTCTAGAAAGTTTGCCGAGGGCAAAGAGATTCAACAATATTATGCACGATTTGCGAACCGACGATCCCTTCAGAAGAACACGCATTTTAATACGTGCGTCCACGAAGCTCGATGGAATGAACAGACTCTCTTATGGGAGGTTCTAGTGGAGGATCGAAAGACCGGCCAAAGGACGAAGTGGATTGCCAATGTCATCTTTGACAATGGTGGTGGCTTTCACTGTCCGAAGTATGCAAACATACCCGGCCGTGATAACTTCAAGGGCGAACAATGGCATACTGCCGAATGGCCAGCGGATGCTGACCTAAAGGACAAACGTGTTGCACTGATTGGGACCGGCCCTAGTGCGGCTCAAGTTGCCCCCAAGATTCAACCCATTGTGAAGCAGCTTTATATGTTTCAGCGGAGCTGTGGCCATGTCCTTCCGCGCAAAAACCATGACATCGCTGGTTGGAAGAGGACCATATTCCGATGTTTCTATCCTATTCTTTGGCTCTACCACGTTTCATGGTTCATTTTTGTGAGGTTCATTCTTTTTAGCTTACCTTTTTCCTGCCCATGCTAACGAAGTTCCCCAAACAGTTCGACCGGACCAAGCCCATGTGGATGAGTGGCACTGAACAAAACCAGGCCATGCACAAGGCATGCATTGATTTCCTCGAACAAGAAGTCAAAGATCCAGCAGTCAAAGAAAAGCTACGTCCGTCTAATGAATTCGGCTGCAAGCGTGTCCTCTTCCTCGATGATTGGTACTCCATGTATAATGAACTAAATGTAGAACTGGTGACTGAAAAACCAGTTCGGATCACGGAGAATAGCATTATCTTGAAATCGCCACGTGCTCTGTCAGCTGAGGAGCAGCCCGCGCAGCCTACGGGATCCTACCAGGTTAAAACGCCAGAGAAGAATATCGACGAAGAGACTGAGCTAGAAATCGACGTCCTAATTTGGGGGACTGGATTCGACATGAACGACTCTGGTGGCCATTTCCAGATCTATGGAAAGGATGGGAAGAATCTCTCTCAAACCTGGAAAGATTATCCTAAGACATACTGGAGTAAGATCTTTCTCACCCAGTTAACCGAGTAGCACCATACTGACTGAGATAAATCTAGGTGTTGCAGTCACAGATTTTCCCAACTTGTTCCTTACTCTCGGACCAAATTCAACGAACTACTGGTCCAACGTCACTACAGTGGTGGAGATCCAGGTGAACTATCACTGTAAGATTCTTCGGCGCATCAAAAAGCAGGTTAAGAAGGGCCCCTATGCTATTTATCCCGACCGCCAAGTTCAGGGTCGCTTCAACGACTGGTTGAAGGAGAATCGTGGTTCCCCTACGTTCTTGTCCACGCACTGTGCGACATATCACAAAGTGAGTCCATGGGTCCTATATCTCGGCGAATAACAACCACTAATGGGATGTTCCAGACACCTGCAGGAGCTACACCTATGTACAATCATTATCGCATCTGGAACTACTACTGGAACATGTTTGGACCACGCTGGAGGGATTTCGTCCAACTGAAGGGCTCACCGGGGGCTTCGGCGTAGATGAATGGAGCGCTTTTATCATCAATTGTATTTCTTATCTTGAATGAGAGACGGTCCTAGTATTGCGTATCCTACGGTATATTCAAATACTCAAGAATTCTGCATTAATGGTAAAGTCATGCGCCTTGTCCGTATCAAAGACGTTTGCATCACGATCGTCCTGTAAGCCTGGCTTCTCTCGAACATGTTTCCCTAATCTATCCATGTTTCTTTCCTTTCATATGGTGTGCGCTGAGCTACGAACCGTCGTTGTCAGCGACATGATCATGTGGTGCATAGGAGCGCCTGTATTGTCACAGTGTGCCTCACCGGTAGGAAAATTTCCCACATATATATCCTGAATTGACCAATTAACCTCAACCCCAGTACGTCCCTCGTTGTGAGATAGAGTATCACCATGTTTATCTTTAGTACGCTACTTGCTATTCGTAATTTGTGTGAGATAAAGTGATACGTTGCCGAAGACGCTCGCGTGTTTTGGAGACCGGTTCATTTTCATAATGTTTTCAACTAATTACGTATCTAAGGCAACCAAGTTTGCGAATAGAGCTAATGGGTTACAAACCATCGGCGAGACCACATCCGCCTTTGCAGGAAACGGTCCTATGGATGATGAGTACTCTACTCAGCGACAAATACCAAACCACGACATGAAAGATTAATTCACTTTACACACGATCAAATAGAGGCGATATCTTCACTATTTATGCCTTCAGAAAGCCTTGTGCAGCTTCCAACAACTTGTCGAGCCCGCCAGCTTCTTCAGCCAGCTGAAAGATTGCACTATTCCTACGCGTTCCTTCATCGTTCCATGCTACTCTATAACTCGAGATGTTTTCTTCGCTAGGTCCGTAAACCGTCACGAGTGGCTGTTTCGACTTGAACTCGGGTAAGCTGTCTTCCTCCGACACGAAGCTGACGACGTTTTCGGCAAGCGTTCGCGCGACTGTCCAGTTCTGGCGGGTGTATGATTGATTGTAGTTACCCCAAAGATAGGCAATGTCTAACAGATGGTTTGTCTTTCCTTTGTATGGTCCATCCCACGGATTACTCTCGTTGAAATGACCAAGGAAGGCAGCTCCAGGCCACGCCTCAGCCAGCTTCACGGAAGGTGCATAAAAAGCGATGTCTGTGATGAATTGGGTGATAGAGCCAAGGGCTTCTGAATCTGTAGTGGCGCTGTGTATGCCGTAGAAGCCAAGCAGCTTCAACGCAGCGTCGCCACCCAGACCTTCATGGACGTAGTTGCTGAAGGCATCCCTGATACCTTGCTTCCGAAAATTCAAGTTGACAAGCGCAAAGATTGTGCCCTAGCTGAGTTAGTTGGCGGAATATAGTTGTTCAACATGTTCTCACATCATATTGGCTCTCTATTGAGAGTAGCCGCTCACACCACCTGAAGCCGGGAACCGACAAGACGAATTGATCGCCAAGCCAAGAAAAGGTTGCCGCCGCTGGAATAAGTGTCCCATCCAATGTTGGGCCCAATGAGGTCATCTCCTTGGAGATTTGAGCTACCAGCTGCTCCTGGGGCATCATGAGCAACGATTTCACTCTCTCAGCCGGCGTGAGATTGTCCAACCCTAGGGTCTGGATGACGGCGTGGTATATTTGCTCGGCAGCGTCCGTGGTTACGGGTTTCATCATCAGAAACGAGCCACCAAGAAGGATGGCCTGATGAAATAGTTTTTCCTCAGAGTACATTAAGAAATTCACGGAGGCTTTGTGTTCGTGTTAGACCTGGCCATTAAACACCGAGAGGTGCAGACTCACCCGCGCCAGCGCTTTGGCCGGCTACTGCAATTCTTTCAGGATCACCTCCAAACCCCGAAATATACTTCTTGGTCCATGCTAAAGCGGCGCGTTGGTCAAGGAGACCTCGATTTGATTTGTAGCCTGCACTACGCAGTTCCTGAGACGTGAGAAATCCCGCGATTCCAAGGCGATAGCTGCCAAAGGGGCTTAGCAAGTGATTTCAGACTGCTTTTATAAGGCTCACTTGAAATTTATGGCGATTAAAGGCTGCTCCATGATAGCTGAGAGCTCTATGACTTTGCTCTGATCATAATGCGGATATGATGACGAGCCGAAGGTGAAGCCACCGCCATGGATATAAACGATAACGGGGAGGGCCTCTCCGCCGTCGATCGGTGCTGTTATGTTCAGGTTCAAGCCATCAAGATCAGACATGTTCGGAATGTTCAGCTCGGGGATTTGCTGCTGGATGAACCCCATCTCCATTTCGGCGGATTTGGAGGGGACCAGCACGGGTGGCCTTGGTTTCTCAGTCGGTCAAACGGAATCACGGACAGCACCAGACTGTCCGTCAAAAGAGTGGAGAGCACATACCCATGTCTTGTGGCATCAATTTCCTCCTCGCCAGAATATTCCATCACCTGTGGCTCGGCGAGTCGGTCCTCCAGCGACGCGTACTTGATTCCCAAATATTGCACCACGCCTTTGCCATACTTACCCTGGATCTGTCCAATGGCGGCGTGGTGCAACGGGCTGGGTGATCCAGCTGGTGTCTGCGCATCCATTGTGGATCAATTCGAGCAATAATTATTGATTCGTGGAGAGTGACTTGGAAGTAACCAGACCAGCTTTTTGTAGGAACAGTTGGCTTCTCTGAACTGCAAACAAGGTAGCTTAGGACGGCGCTGAATGATGTTTTGCTTCCTGACAAAACATAAACCTGGGAAATGAGTTCTCTATAAGGATGGTACAACTCTTAGTGAAAACTCATCTTTGTGCCTCTTCGCCTGCCTTGGCAGTGACGGCCACTGGTGACGGGGACTAGAGGCCGAGTTCTTCGGTCCGGCCGGGCGTCCCGGAGTCCGAGTCCGGCCGGCATCCGTGACCGCTCAAGCCCACTCCGGAAGCCCGCTAGCCAGCCTGCGGCAGTCAATCATTCCCAAATTAATTCTCTTGATTGCCCAGGCCTGTTTATTGTTTAGCGTTGCCACAATTTTCACATTAGTATGATTGTGTGGTTACTGTTTCTTTGACTTTCGCTTCCCTGAAAATTCTTGCGTCAAATTAGATTGCTCTGTCAACGAATTGCGACAATGGTTGCCACTATTGAAGATTCAGCTACATGGCCGCGATGGGGGCGGATAGACAGCGAGCTGAAGGAGGTGGGTAAAGGATGTTCTGACTCTATACCATCATTCTGATGTCAACCGTGGGAGATACTTACTAGGTCCTAGTTGATTGAGAATGACGCCAATCCCGCGTTTCGAAAGACGCCCGATATGAATGCCATCGTCTCGACCCGCGAGGCTTGGTATCCCAAATACAAAGCCGTTGCTGACGCGGCCCTGGCTACTGTTGGTGCTCTCGTGACGAGCAAGGAAATCCAGATTCCACGGCGAGATGGTGGTGCTCAACGGGCATTGGTTTATCAACCCCACGACGTAGCAAATGCTCCTCGGCCTCTGCTTGTTCTGATCCACGGCGGCGGCTTCTGCTATGGATGCCCGGAAATGGATGGCGCGACTTGTGTCAGAGCAGTGCAAGCTTATGGCTGTGTTGCCGTTAGTTTGAGCTATAGGCTGGCCCCAGAGCACAAGTTCCCCACGGCAACGAATGACTGCTGGGATGCTTTGAACTGGGTGAGTGCTGATTTCGTGAACTACACGCTGGTCAGAAGTTCCACATCGTGATGCTGATTGATGTCAGATCAGCGGAAATCTGGCTAGTCTCGGGGCAGATGCTTCGAAGGGATTTGTGCTGGGCGGGACTTCAGCCGGTGGTAATATCGCCGTCGTCCTCTCCCACCTTGCCAGGGACGAAGGGTTAAGCCCTCCATTGACTGGTGTCTATCTCAACGTCCCATTGGTTTTAGCACCGGAAGTCGTCCCAGAAAAGTATCTTCCTCTCTATAAAAGTCGCAACCAAAACGCTACGGCCCCGGTGCTCAACAAGGCATTTATGGACATGTATACGGAAGCCTATGCACCGAATGTTCAGTCATATATATGGAGCCCCATAAATTGGCCTGGAGGGGAAGAGAGCCATGCAGGTTTACCGCGGACTTATTTTCAGATTTGCGGCCTGGACGTGCTCCGAGATGAGGGGTTGATCTACGAGCGTGTGCTCCGGAAGGGTTATGGTATTGAAACTAGGGTCGACATTTATCCTGGGCTTCCTCATATGTTTGTTCCTAATTACCCAGCTCATTCCTCAAGCAAAAAGTACCCACAAGACACGCTGTCTGGGTTAGGATGGCTCCTTCGGGCATTGTAGGGGGCGAGAAAGGGTATTAGTTAGAGTGTGTTCCTACTAATTGGACAATCTTGAATTGGGTGTTTCAAATGTAATTACTCGATTTGAACTCATGGAGAAGAGTGGAATGGCCCCAACAGAGATAGTCTCAGTATTAATGAGACGGTAGTACGCTGAAGAACACTTATCCCGGATATTTCTTTTTTAAGGGAGTGGTTAGGCTGCTTGAATGGCCAGAATCCTATACACCCAACCTCCAGCGTTCTACCAACCCATTCCTCGGCGAAAAGGCCTCCGGTGGCATCCTTGTTCGGTTTTGCCACTGAGATTTGTCATCAACATTCTGGGCTGCATCCTTGGCTTTGGATGGAGAAAATAACGCGCTTACTAGTCAGTCGGAAGCGGCTGGTCCTTCGGACGGTGGAATGCGCTACCACTGCTACAATGAAGCCGGAAACCGGAACACGCTTCCGGGATAATCTACCGTTGATCCTCGAAGCTCCAGGTCCAAGCCGGATTCAAATGCTATATGATCTGTGGGAGAATCACTGTCACCTCCCCCCCGAACAAGAGAGGAACAATAATTCAGTCAGACCGAGGTACCAATCGAACAGCATGGTACAAAATAAGGCTCTTGTTTTATCCCAGGTCGCAGAAGGCGTTCCAGTCGCTGGACAACACCTCGTGATCCGACAGAGTGACTTCAACCTCTCTTCTTCACCACCCGAGGGCGGCTTCACCGGCCGTGTTCTTCATGCCTCGTTTGATCCATATCTACGACACCGTTTGGTTAAGCTTGAGGACGCAAGAGATGGATTTGAGCCTCTCCCCGTCGGGAGCGTCATACCTAACGGCATTATCGTCCGTATCTTGCGCTCGGATAACCAGCGATTCCATGCCAACGATGTTGTAGTCGGGATGGGTTCAATTCAGGAATATGTGTCGCTGGGACCAGATGACGCTAATCAATTCGTTCCAATTCAGAATCCTCATGATTTAGATTTGAAGTTCTTTCTTGGCCCGTTAGGAATGCCTGGTTTGACGGCTTACTCAGCTCTCTACGAGATTGGACAACCTAAAAAGGGAGAAACCATCTTCATCTCTGCCGCTAGCGGCGCGGTTGGCCAGATAGTTGGACAATTGGCACTCCACGAGGGGCTCACTGTCATCGGCAGCGTCGGAAGCGATGAAAAGCTTCGTTTGTTGACCGATATCTTCAAGTTTCATGGAGGGTTCAACTACCGACATGGGGACATTCTGTCACAACTCAAACGACTGGCACCAAATGGCGTGGACAGTGAGTAAATCCTACGAAGAATTGCCTTGTTTGAAGTAGAAATAGTTCTGACCAAGGGATAGTCTATTACGACAACGTCGGCGGCGAGCAGTTAGAGGCTGCTATCTCATGCTTGAAAGACTGGGGTAGGATCGGTATGTTTAAATCCTGGATGATATTTCATGGGTGGTGATCTTTCTCACAAGTCCGTTCACTAGTCGCCTGTGGCTACGCTTCGCAATACAGCACTCCTCCGAGTAAGCAGTACGGAATTCGCAACACCAGCATGATTGTCGGTAAGAGACTGATGTGGCGGGGATTAAGTGTCTTTGACGAGCACATGGGTGGTGCCTACCGGGCCAAGCATCAAGAAGTGGTCAGTCAGTGGATTGCAGAGGGCAGCTTTAAACCGGTCCTAAGTGAGACCAACGGTATCGACCAGGCTGCCCAGGGTCTTGTGGAGCTCTTTGAGGGTAACAATGTTGGAAAGGCTCTTTTGAATTTGTAAGCTTAGGAAACTCATTTGCGCGCAAGCTTCATTCCGACTTCATGATACAAGTGTCCAATGGCTACCGCATGCTACGTCTTCGCTTTGTAGCCGCAAAAGTCGCCTACCATATCGATAATTGCCCTCTCAAAAGCTCCCTGCCAGCCTATGCACACGAGTCATTGAAAAATATTCCGAATGGGCTGAGCGCAGAACAGGTCCCAATCAATTTGTTGTTCGAAAAAAGAAGCATCCCATGGAGGCATCTCATGTGGCTGATTCTCGGCGGAGTTGAAGGGGGTGTCAACACGAGAAACCTCTCCCACGAGCTCATTATCGAGTTGAGAGCCGAAAAGGAGTGATGATGGTATTGGCCTGTGATGCCTGGGTTCCGGGTCCTTGCCGGCTACTTGATTTTGTCCTGGGGTGGACGGGGTTGCCATATGTGGGCGCTGCGTTTCCAGCGAGTGCATGACTCGATCGGCGTAGCTTGTGTAAAGGTCAATAAGGGAGACAGACAGTCGATGGATTTCAAAGATGGAAGGATTTGTGTCGATTCTTCTGGACAATCCTTTTGCCACGTCTTGGAGAATTTTGAGGTCGAGGGCGTCGGATGTCGCGACAACGTTGGTGAAGACAAAGTAGAGCGGGCGCAACGGGAATAATGGAATGACCCTATCAGTGGAAATGCGAGTGTTAAATGGAGAACTCTTTTCGGAGTCTTCTTCTGGAAATTCGCACTTACCAGGCCAAAGAGCATGCGTAGAGGTCAGGGTTCGCGCACTGGTCTAAAGATTCGAGTAGGTTCTTAAGGGTGAACAAACACTTGCGGGCATTCTCCAAACATGAAAAATGTGCGTGAGAGTCGTTCGCTGTAGCACCGAGGCGGATGATTGATGTCATCATGGAGTAGAAGACAAAATCGATAGTGAGCCACTCAAATTGGAGAAAGTCGTCTGTTGCAGATCGAGATTCTGCCCGATACTACGATGATGGCATGCCGTTAGTAGGCAAAGTAGACAACATATACCTAGGTAGACGAGACACGTACCTCTTCGATTTTCAGCCGAATTTTCCTCATTTGATGCTTGAGGCTTGCCACTCGTTCAATGTTCATTTGATACCTCTGCTGGTGGCTGGTGCAACTCTTCGTTTCCTGGATAATTACCTCCTGGACCTCGGCAAAGGACAATAAGGTTTCCAGCACAGCATCCTCTGGATTTTCTGTATCCAACACAGATCGATCAATGTCCAATTTTGCTGAGCATGCTGGCTGATATATGTTGGCGGATAAGGCCGAGTTGAAAGCGTAAGCCCTTATGCAAGTAATGCGCAACAACTTGATCTCGTCCGCACTTTCGGTATCCCTGGTCGCTGAGGGATTCTGAGTGATGATGGCGCCGACTTGGCATGCTAATGAGTTGAATCGCCAACATTGTCGCATTCGACCGGTTTCCTGCATCAACATGGCCTTTGGGCCAGAGAACCGTGTTAGGGGCGTGGTTTCGAGATGGGGGTGCTAAAATCGACGTACCGCAGACTGAAGAGCATACATCAACGTTCTATCTGGTCGGACTTCGGTATCAAGGTGGGCAATCGTCGTCATCATGTTATCGCGATACTTCTGTTGAGAGTGCCTTAGTTGCTGGCGCATGCCGCGGCTTGCGGCGGATGAAAAGGCCATGAGAAAAGCATGTGCCACATGGTTAACACAGATGAGATATTGTATCCTCTTCTGGCCATGGACAGTGCAATTGATCAGAGAGAAAGTCATCTCCTCGATTAGTGGCTGGGATATAGTTGAAAAATGTACGAGAGAGTACGAGAGTGTGGAGCTTTTGGAGGATTCTGGTACCTTCGGTCAACGCCGTGGACCGGACAATGGTATTGGAGATTTGACAAGACGTACCATGCAGCAATAGATGCAGAAACTCGGCGCTTGGATACATTGAAGGGTTATAAAAGTTGGGACGGCATTCCCGGTTCAGTTTGAGCTGCGGCTCCGCCATAGCCACACTCTTGGCGAGGAGTATGGCCGACTCAATGACGCTCTGGCGTTCCTTATCAATATCACAATTCTGGGGATCCAGCCGCAGATACCTTTTCAGGTCAAGATTCGCTAGCATCTTGTCCTCGGGACTCTGGCCTTCTTCTTCGTCGTTCCCTTTCCGCGACCGCTTCTTTTGCGGCTGATGCTGGTCTTTGGGACTGCCCTCACTCGGAGAGGATGGAGATGGCTCCTGTCTCTTCCGTTGCGCCGGATAGCCAATGGTTTCACACACTTGCCTTGACTCCGGTGTTCCCATATGTGCCATATCTGACACCTGGCTGAAGATTTCCGAGGGGACTGTTGTGGCCGTCGAGCTCCTGCGCGCCGGTGAGACTGTTTTAGCGGAGGCGGACGACATCTTGATTGTCTCTTCTAGTCGAGACATACGTTCCAGTACGGCATCAAGACTCTCACTGGTAGGATGGGATTAGTCACGGATATTCAGTTGATGGAAAGGCTGAATGGGCGCACTTATTCTTGTTTTGCGACACCTGTCGGGGACGCCGGCGAAGACAAGTCAATTTTCCGGTTACGCAGTTTCCACAGGGATCCTGTCGATCGCATCGAGTCTGGATCCGACCAGGCAAGAGTCAACGTCATGTTCCCTTAACGGAAGGTTCCTAGGCAGGGAGATTGTTACCTTCTTCGCGTGGCAGTGATCACACTATGCATGAAGTCAGTCGTGGCAGCTCATTCGGAAGCTCTCGCTCAGGGATCCTCACGGCGGGTAACACACGGGGTGCTGGGACGGAATCCACGGTAGACATGATCAGGCCGATGCCGAGGGAGTCTAATATGGTCTGATGTGATGCACTTTGGGACGGCTTGAAAACGGGATGGATGACAAGGGCGTCAATAACTTACTAGGGAGGGAGTTCAAGAGCAGTCCATGTAGCTGTCAGGTGGAGGTAGTTTGAGTGGGGTCGCCTGCCCTAAGCCAATGCTGATAGGACCCAAACGACACTTCGTCGGCTTGGATTGAAAATGCGGGGACCAATTAGAGTGTTATCAAATATGGAGAAACAGGGGCAGTTCGCAGCCAAATCACCGACAGCTCTCTACAGTACGCGCGAAGTTAGCGCAGCGCCACCGGATCTATCGTGAAGATAACCAATCCCAGGTCCCTGTGTGGACAGCGCCGAGTGTACAGTGACAATCCAGTTTACCGACGAAGCAAGGTCGCCGTGGCTGGCGAGAGGTGATAGCCGCCAAACCGAACCCGAACGGCTGGTGCATATATTCTACATAGTACACCTTCGCTCATGTCGTTCAGCATATCAGCACGCCAGGCTCAATTTGACCCTGCCTATCAAACAGTTATCAAAAAACCAGTGGTTTCTATTGTGGTTTCCGGGTTCGATAAAGAGCTTTCCCTGGAGAGGCAAGGGTTGATAATTACGAGGCGTATCACACGAGTGACCTAAACCCCGCTCTCCCATTCCCTTTTACGTAAATGGTCGGGGATAAGCACTCTGACAAGCAATCTGTAACGGTACTTCTGATGTGGGGCGGAAACCGGATTCCCAGCTCCGGCCAGTTCGGCCAGTTTTCTCCTCCGCCTCCTCCGCGCGCGCGCGCGCTCTAAACCTCTCGGTACGAGGAGATTATTAATTGGCGCTCGGTTCCTAGTGGCGTACAGTATGACGGGTTGAGTCAAAGGCCAGAGCCTCTAACCCTAACCCCCCGCGCTCACTCCTTGTCACGTATCCAACCGCCATTGATCCTCTGTCGACCTTCGCAATTTCACATTTACTCGTCGAATTACCGGCCTCACCTCCAATCTCAAGCAATGCTGTCTTTCCTGCGTGCTCCTTTGCCTCCCAGGACCAATCGGGCTGGCGAAAATCCCATCATCTACGAGGATGGTGCTTCGTCGCTCGAGTTTCGCACGTCGTCAACATCTAATTACCTGCTGAGAAACAAACATCCTCCTTTTAACAAGGACAGTCCTTCTATTATGGTGCCTCCCTTTCATTACCACATCCACCAGACCGAGCACTTCCGCATAGTCTCAGGCACATGCAATCTCTTCAAAGATACCGCCGACCAACCTTGGAAGACGCTCTCCGCGGAAGCCCCCGATGGCCTCAAGACAGCCTTCGTTCCGCCAAAGCAATATCACACCATCAAAAATGCGTCCACCACTGCACCGCTTGTTCTGGACGTTTCACTCACACCTGAAGATGTTGAAGGCGAGGAACGCTTCTTCCGGAACTTCTTTGGTTACCTGGATGACTGCAGAAAGGCTGGTCAGAAACCAAGTCTCTTCCAATTAATGGTGTTCTTGCAGAACAGCGATACCCCGCTAGGCTTGCCTATTGCTCCCAAAGGGTTAGGGCTCGTCGCTAGCAATGTCTTTATGCATGGGATGGGCTTTTTTGGGAGATGGGTTTTGGGATATAAGCCAACGTACGAGGACTACTATGTTGAAAAGAAGACTCTGTGAGACGGGCATTGTATTTCGTCCAAGGCCATCAATTGAGCTTAATCATATCTTGATGTGCATCCATCCTCACCAGAAATTATGCATAAATTCAGACCCCAGAGAGTCAATGTATTAGTTCTTAATGGGGTCCCGAGAGTGAATCCTTACATCTGTTTCGTCGGCCAGAGCCTGTGTATAATGACTTCAATTCTGATACTTAGCCCTCCGACGGTCGTCGTTCTTTCTGAGATTGTAGTTGTATAGCCGTGGGCATTTCCGGTGTCAGTTGTGGACAATTCTTTTCCGGCAGGTGTTGCACGTAGGGTAGGTGGATGGAACATACGGCCGGACCTCCGCTAACTTCAGCCATTTGTTCTATCAGCCGACTCCTCAGTGGGCGCACACACACCGGAAACTAAAATGCGGCTTCCGATCCCCGCACGAGGACGGGGCTCAGCTCACCATGCCCTCGCCCTCGGGGCCGGCTTCCTATCTGACATCTACACAAAAAACACCTCCGTATCAACGTGGCTCTGCAGTTCAGGCCTCCATAACGCTTCGGTTGCAAAACTACTTCAAGGGCGTCATGCCATCCTTGGTGGCCAAGCTTTTCGTCTTGTTCATCATCCCATCCCAGCTTTTCTCCGACTCAATTTCCATTGACCCGAAATCATGGCGGATACCAAGACTGCTGCCGATGCCGAACCATGCGTTAAAATGGGTGGCAAATCTTGTATGTTGAATGGTGTACTCCGCAAAGTCGCACCACTCCTTTTCTCAATGGAGCTGACGATGGCACAGCGCTTAAGAAATCGCCCTGCCATCAACAATCCTTCCAGGAAGGGATGGAGGACAAGGCCGAGGATGAGGTGGATGCGTTTACGGTACAGCTCAGCGGCTCGACACCCTTTAAGAAAGATATGGGTTGGTTAAGCATCCTGGCTGCAGGATTCAACGTCAACAATAGCTGGTTGGTCATTGCAGCGACCATGAGCATTTCCCTATCCTACGGTCCGATGAACACCGTATGGGGTCTCCTCGCTATTACCCCCATCTACTTTTGCATTGCCCTGACGCTCGCGGAATTGGTCTCGGCTTATCCTACTACTGGTGGTCAATACCATTGGGCCTATTTAATGGCACCTTCTAAGATCAACAAACCTGTAGTAAGTTCAGAGTCACGAAACGCATTCATGGCGCGCCTTCCTATGATGCATTACCAAAACAAAGCGTTTTCGACTAACTCATCCTCTCTCCAGAGCTACTACTGCGGCTTCGTCAGTTGGCTCTCCTGGATAGGGATGAGCTCCTCAAGTGCTAGTGCTGTAATATTCTGCGTTTACGCCCTGATAATGAATGCCAACCCGTCATTCGCGCCAAAGGGATGGCATTCATTCTTAATATTTCAGGCCAACAACTTATTGAGCCTCTTGGCCAATATTTTTGGAAAGAAACTTCTGCCGAAATACTACTCCTTTGGTTGTATGTTGCATATCCATTGGTGAAAGCGCCCCCCGACGGCTAACGATGTTACTTCCAGTCATCTTCAGTGTGTCTGCCTTCTTAGGCTTCACGATTGCCACTTTGGCAATGCAGAAGACCAAGCAAGATTCAGAAACTGTTTGGACAACGGTCACCGAGTTATCCGGGTGGCCAGCTGGCATGCAGTTTCTAATTGCCCTCACAGCTCCCGTTGTGGCATTTTGTCCTATTGACGGCGCCATACACCTTGTAGAAGAGGTAAAGAACGCGGGAAAAGTGGTCCCACGGACGATTTTAACTGCTCTTACCATATCATTTGTGACCTCCTTGGCGTTTATCCTAGCGATGCTTTATTGCATCTCTGACTTTGATGCCGTCTTGGCATCCCCCTCTGGATTTCCCCTCTTTGAGCTCTGGTCACAAGCTTCCTCTACCACCACTGTTCCGATCGTTTTCACCAGCATCACCATGTTCCTTCTACCTGTCGGCACAATCGCCTGTACTCAAGTAGCTTCCATGATGACATGGTGCCTTTCGCAAGACAAAGGCCTGCCATTTGATCGGTATCTCACTAAAACCAATAAAGAACTCAACGCTCCTATTTGGGCGCTGGTAGTCAACGCATCCATCATGTTCCTCATTGGATGTCTCTACTTATTCTCATCACTTGGTACGTATAAAGATATCATGCCCGCTCGCGGTTAGCTTCCCGCTCTCTACAGATCTTGGTTAACTCGGGTCCTAGCATTCAACTCCATTATTGGAGTAACTGTTATCTTCCAGCAAATCACCATGGCTATCCCAACAGTATTTCTTCTCTACTATAAACGTTCCTCGGCCGTTCTTCCCACGGGTCGAACTTTCAAAGTTCCGTCATTGATGGGTTGGATTGCTAATATTGTCACTGTTTTATTTGCCACCCTTGCTGTGCCCGTGTTTCTCTTCCCCGCTGTTAGAAACCCGACTGTTACCACTATGAGTAAGTCATGACCCTCGGAAGATGAATCGCCAAAACACTAACATCCTACCCTGTAGACTATGGCATTGTGGTTGTCGCGGGAGCCTTTATGCTCGCTGTTGTAAACTGGTTCTTGTTTGCTAGAACTCGCTTTTTAGGTCCTATACTGGCTAGCTTCAGTGACTATTAAAGGAAGTGTTTTCCCAGAGTTATCATTACAGTATGACGACTCTGCGGTAATAGAAACTCTGTTATTAAAGACAAGAAACGAATACCAGACCGCTTTAATTATAAAAGAAAGGCCTAATAACGCCTTTCACGCTAAACCGTTACCCAGCGACAATGTGTGACTATGTGGGTGTGACATCAACGATTACGCCACATAACATCCGAATCCAAGCAACATCTTCAGAGCACAAGATCCCACATGGCCTCTTCATATTGCTTCTTCCCAGAGTCAGCTGTCTGAAGAGAAGGCTCCGCACTAAGATGATTTCTTACTATAAGATGTAAAATTACATGTTGTTGGTCATCGTGGAATGTAATCAACTATTTCAGTCATGCCCATCTTAGGCGGATTTCTCTGATCGCCCTCCCTCATACAATAGAAACATCTCGTACAACCAATGTTGGATGGCTGCAACTCCGGCAGCTCTTCTCGGTAGTTCATAACGGACAATTCGTTCCGAGGGCCTAACTGCGTGGCGCCTTCTCCTTCCGGCTTAATGCCGCGTTCAGGAATACCCAAAATAGCAAATGCCTTTGCCATTGCCTTTCGTTCCGAAAGGATCTTCCTTCCGCCCCCTCGGGTTCCTTCCGCCCCCTCGGGTTCCTTCCGCCCCCTCGGGTTCCTTCCGCCCCCTCGGGTTCCTTCCGCCCCCTCGGGAACCACCACCCCTGACGCCACACTAGCACTGCCACCGGTTTCACCGCCACAGAAGACGCCTGAATTTCACTGCCACTTACGCCGCACCTGAAGAGCCACCAAGAACCTGTACGCCACAATCACTGCTCCACAACCAGGAGAGCCTCATCAATAACAGCCAGCCGACGTGCTCCCTCTCCGGTTCCCAGTTCTACTCCTAGAGACAGGAGTCAATTTTCTCTCATATCACAACGGGATACTGCCGCGGAAGGAATCACCCTGACCTACGTTTCCTGGGCATCCTGCACCTTCCACGAGCTCACTCTCTTCCTCGGCGTCCCATCTCTGCCGGAACCTGTGCCTCGCTTCAGGGGATTTCTGCCTTGGTTCGGTGCCTCATTTTCTTCGGACCCTATCGAAACCGTCACTGACGATTCTATTTCTGCCGGTGAGAGTGAGTGTTATTCAGTGGGACTCTTCCTAATTGTAACCACATACCTGTACAATCCCTCTGTTTGCTATTTGATGTAGAACTTGCTAACTATCGGGTCAGACGATCCTCTTCTTGTCCCTCGCGCTCGGAAATACGAACCGGGTTGGTTTTGTTACGATGCGAAGAGCCGCTTCGTTATTGCTGAGGATTCCGCCTCCTCTATTGCCTCTCCCCCTGATCTCTCTTTCACCTTCTCCATCCCAGCACTGGACGGCGCCGAGGATGTCGGTATTTGCATTCCCGTCCTTGAGGCGCTCCGTGGAGATGCCCTCTTGTCGGGCGCGGGAATTAAATTGGGTGATATAGCAGCTTTTGGGTATGTACTGGAGTATATTTGGGTCTTATACTGCTGCAGTGATGGCTGGTAATAGGACCTGGTTGTACTAATATAAGTAGTACTTTTTAGGAAGATAGATATATTTAAGTGGATTATCTGGTATGTACTGGGGATATAAAGCTAGGAAGAATACTTAAATAAATATATTAATTAAACCTTAGATCTACTTAAAGTAATAGTTGGGTATATAGTATAGAAGTTGTTATTGCTAGAAGGTTTTCTAGGAGTAATAGTTAGTTTAGGTAAAATTATTACTTAGAGTATTAATTTTAAGATATATATTATTAGTATAATTAAAGATAGTAAAGAGCTGTAAATATTATTAAATATCCAGTTTAATAATAGTTAAGAAAGAGAGAAAACTATAAATACTATTAATATTATAGATTTTCTAAATTAGATTATTTATAAATTACTTATTAATACTATATCTTATTAAGAAATAAAGGCTTAGTAATATACTACTACTAAGGAATTTTTCTAAGGTAATTTAATAAGCTACCTAATAATTATAATAATATAAATTTATTAGATAACGTATATAATAAGCAAATATCCCAGACAAGCAAATATCCTAAAAATCCCTTAATCTCTCTTTCTTCTATTTAATTAATTAATTTACTACTACTAAATATATTATAACAGGCAGTTAGGGATACTTAAGCTAGCTGGTCGCTAGCGGGGATGTCTCTAGAGTAACCCGGATGGGGTTAAAAGGGGAGGTTAGTGCCATCACTAGGGGAAATAATTGTTTTTCCTTTTATTAGAGATTCTTCCTAGAAGTTAGAGAGGCTGGAAGGGCTCGAGGCTGCTAGGGAGTCTATTAATTAATTGCCTTCATTTTTAAGAGATTTATTTAAGCATTCTTGCCGTTACTATATTCCTTGTCTAACTTCCATCTTTAACATCCCTTAGATATCGGGCTGCCGCAGGCCCTATTAATGCCTTGCTAGCGAACTTTCCTATAACTAACTTAATATTCTATCTTATAAGATACTTCCCTATTAGAAGATATAAGCCTTAGGTTAATCCAACCTTATATATATAATCTAGTGTAGCTTTAAGCTAACTAGCTAAGATGTCTATATAATAACTTTCTGTATATTTCCCCTAGGGTAAGTTAATAAGTTAGGTGTTATTTTCTATTTCTTTCTACTGTTAAAATATCTCAATTTAATAAAGAGGCTAATATCCTTCTTACTCTTTAAGCTCTTTAAAATAATTTATTATTAAGTATTTAATATGCTATATTAATTTACTATATCTGTAATAAAAGGCTAGGGTGCTATTAGAAAGATATATAGTCTTAATATAATATTATCCCTAAGTTATATAAGCTATTTAATTTAGAGGAATAGATTATTATTTAATTTATTCTTAATCTAGATTTATAAGGGTTTCTTCTATAACTATATAATATTAAAGAAATAGCTAATTAACTGCTTACTAACTACAATATATTACCTATTAGTAAGTACTAAGCTTCTAACTTTATTAAGTAATAACTAAAGCTTAAGATATATTTTTTTATAAATATAACTATTAGAGGGCTAAATATAAAGATCTAATTATTATTTATAATTAATTCTAGCTTATAGAAAATATAATTATAAAATATAATATTAATTTAGTTAATATTTATAATTTTAATAAGACTGGCTTTATAATAGGTATAATTATAAGTAGAATAGTTATTATAGATATAAATAGGTATAGAAACTTAAAATTAATTTAGCCTGGAAATTAAAAATAGATTATAGTTATTTAGATAATTAATATAAAAGACTAGGTAATCTAGCTATTTATTATAATTATAAGCTAATATTATCTTATTAATTAATATTAGAAAAGTAATCTTTAGGTAATTAAGCTATTATAATAACTTAAAATAGCTAGATTAATAATAAGATAGATTTTAAGTAGCTTAAGTATTTTAATTAATATATAAAGAATTAATTAACTAGTTATTATTATCTTCTAATTCTTAATAAATATAAAAATTACTATTTTATTAATTTTAAGAAATATTATAAATAGAATAATATTATTATATTTTATATACTATTTTATTTATTTTATTTACTTTAGCTTCTTAATATTAAGTACTTTAAGCTACTTAAAAAAGCTTATAATTAAGAAATTAAGTAGTTAATTAAATACTTTATAATTTATATTTTAAAAATTAAATTCTTTTTAGCTTTTTATACTACCTACTAAGCTACTATAATAAAAAGTAATATTAAAGAGAGTTTTTAAGAGGCTAGATTTACTTCTTTAAACTTAGAAAATATTATATTAAAGCTTAATATATAGCTATAAATTCTAATACTAGTTAAAGAGGAAATTAGTTTTTTAACTCTTAGATTTTAAAGACTTTAAAGATAGTATTTAAGGCTAGCTTATAATTTAAATATCTTAAAAAATAAGTTAGAAGGTATTAAAGAGCTCTTTAATATTATTCTTAAGATACTTAAGTTATTTTCTAAGGAATAAAAATAATAATATATTAAATAGTATTATTAAAATCTAAAATTAAATTCTTTAATAGATAAATAAATCTTAATAAGTAATATAAAGTAAAAAGAACTTACTTATAAAATAGAGGAAGATAACTTTAAATAAGAAAAGAAATAAAATAGATTAAAAAGATATTAATATATAAATAGTAGCTAAATTATTAAGAAGTAGTAAGTAATAAAGATTAGTACTACTAAGAAAAAGATACTATAAAATATATAGAAAGGCTAGTTATAATATAAGAACTTATTAAATTATAATTAAAATTTCTAAAGAAGAATATAGCAATTAGTTTTAATTAATTAATTATATTATTATAATTTTATTAAGGTTTTAACTTTAGAAGTTAGGATTTTTAGGATATTTACTTATTTGGGATATTTACTTATTATATATATTATTTTACAGCTAGATAAGTATTACTATTATAGGTAATCTTAAGTTAAGAGGTATAATTAAAAAGATTAGTAGAAGAATCTATAATATATAGAAGTAAATAGTAGCTATAGTTATTATTAATTAAATTATCTAGCTAAGTAATAATATTATTTAAAAAGTTATAAAAGTAATAAAATTTATTTTTAGTTAATTTCTTATAATTTATTATATATTCTTAGCTTAAGTAGCTTAAGTAGGCTATTTATTCTTAAATAAGATATTATTTAAGTATAAGAATTAAGTTATTAAAAGTTAATTAATATTAATAAAGATATTTAAAGAAATTACTACTATTATAATATTTATTATTTTTATTATTATATTTATTAACTATAGCTATAATTAGTAATTAAGATAAGTTTTATTAGAGGTTATAAAATAGTAGAAGAATAGAATAAATTATAAATAAAAGAATATTCTTATAAAGAATATATAAATAAGAAATAAAATAAGAAATAAGGGATAATAGTATAAAATAGTATATAATAGTATATAATAGTATATATTATACTAATAATAATTATTAGAGGTTATATAGTAGTAGAAAAATAAAATAAATTATAAATAAAAGAATAAGATAAGAGATAAGGGATAATAGTGTAAAATAGTATATAATAGTGTATAATAGTATATATTATATTAATGATGATATATATAAGTTTAGAATTTACCAGAGGGTCTCTAGCTTTTTATAGACAATTTCTCAAAATTTAGCTATTGTAGCTTAGACAATAAGTATACTATTAAAAAGCCCCAAAAAGCAGCTTTTTAGTGGTATTATTATTGTCATCTAATATCCAGCAGATTCTGAGTAATTCTGCTTTGAAATCAAGTCTTTACTTTGAAATTAAAGGTAGTTTAATTTAAAATCATTAAAGATATAGAAACATATTATATACTATAAAAAAGCCTAAAAAAGCAGCCTTCTTCTAGTATAATCTTTATACCTAAAATACTTATACTTTCCAAAGCATCCAGATTATAAGTTAAAATAATTTGGAATTAAAAATAATTCCAAATATAAGTGGGGTTAATATCTTTTCTATACAGTATAAATAGTATAATTAATACTGTATTTATACTGTATTTTAATGCTATTTATACAGTATAAATAATACTATTAATACTATATTATATTTATTTATAAAATTAATTAAGATTTAATTCTTAAGATTAAAAATATATATTTATAACATACATAATAAGCTTATATAATAAATAAGCTTGTATAATAAAAATCCCTCTACCTATATTATCTCTATTTAATTAATTAATTCTTAACTATAAAATATATCTAACCCTCATATTAAGAGTAAAATCCTTCTTATACTTCAGGCCCTTTAAAATAACCTAAAATTAAAGCTCTAATACGCTACAGAGATCTACAAAGTTAGCCGTATAATACTATAGCGCCAGTAGAAGGGGATTCAATCCCAATGCAATTAGATCCCTAAATTATATAAGCTATCCAATCTAGAAGAGCAGATTATTATTCAGTTCATCCTCAACCTGGATTTATAAGAGTTTCCCCTATAACTTTATAATATTAAAGAAATAGCCAACTAATTGCTTGCTAACTATAATATATTACCTATCGGCAAGTACTAGGCTTCTAACTTTATTAGGTAATAACTAGAGCTTAAGATGCATTTTTTTTATAAATATAACTATTAGAGAGCTAAATATAAAAATCCAATTATTATTTATAATTAATTCCAGCTTATAGAGAATATAATTATAAAATATAATATCAACCTAGCTAATATCTATAACTTTAATAAAACTGGCTTTATAATAGATATTATTATAAGTAAAATAGTTATTATAGGCATAAATAGGCATAGAAACCCAAAATCAGTCCAGCCTAAAAACTGGAAATAGGTTATAGTTATTCAGGCAATTAATATAGAAGGCTAGGCAATCTAGCCGTTTATTATAATTATAAGCTAATATTATCTTACTAGCTAGTATTAGAAAAGCAACCTCCCGGGCAATTAGGCTATTACAATAACTCAAAATAACTAGACTAACAATAAGATAGGTTTTAAGTAGCTTAAGTACTTTAACTAGCATATAAAGAATCAATCGACCGGTTGCTATTATCTTCTAATTCTTAATAGGCATAAAAGTTACCACTTCGTCGACTTTGAGAAATATTATAAAAAGAATAATATTATTATACTTTATATGCCGTCTTATTTATCTTATCTACTCTAGCCTCTTGATGTTGGATACTTTAGGCTGCTTAAAATAGCCTATAGTCGAGAAATTAAGCAATTAATTAGATACTCTATAACCTATATTATAAAGACTAAGTTCTTCCTAGCCTTCTATACTGCCCATATAGCTGCTATAATAAAAAGTAATATTAAGGGAGGTTTTCGAGGGGCCGGACTTGTTCCCTTAAACCCAGAAAATATCATATCGAAGCTTAATATATAGCTACAAACTCCAATACCAGCTGCAGAGGAAGTCGGCCTCCCCGACTCTTGGGTCTTGAAGATTTAGCAGCAGGAAGGGACGGAAAACAACACCCAACTCATTAACCTTCCCTAGGGGAAATGCACAGAGAGTCGTCGCACAGGCGTCTTGGCCGGTCAGCCCGAAGCTGCACCAGATTATGCGTATAAGGTCGGATCAACCTGAGGCTTATGTCTCCTGATAGGGAAGCATCTCATGAGATTGTATATCGGGTCGGTTGCAGGAAAGTTCGCTGGCAAGGCATCAATGGGGCCTGCGGCAGACCGATATCTGAGGGAGGTTGAAGACGGAGGTTGGACAGGGAACGTAGTGATGGCAAGAAGGCTCAAATAAATCTCTCAAAAATGAAGGCAATCAATTAATAGACTCCCTAGCAGCCTCGAGCCCTTCCGGCCTCTCTGACTTCTAGGAAGAATCTCTGATGAAAGGAAAAACAATGATTTCCCCCAGTGACGGCACTGACCTCCCCTTTTAACCCCATCCGGGTCACCCTAGAGACATCCCCGCTAGCAACTAGCTAGCCCAAGTGTCCCTAACCGCCTGTTATATCCCTCCCCCGCGATCTGATGATTGTCCCCAATCAGGCCAGGAATGCATACAATACAACAGCCTTCATTTAAGATTCCGACTAAAGAAATATAGCAAATATTAGAGAAGCATCTCATTAGAAGCTTCTAAAGACTAACTTCCTCTATTAAGGGCGACTCCTTTACCACAAGCTTTCCTATCCATTACCATTCCAATCTACCAGAGAAAGCAGAATAGCACACCAAACAACTATTACTTGTAAGCCTCACGCTGACGGTAACGTTCCTCCCGACTGATCTTTACAATAGCGGGAGGGATGACATCCGTGTAGGCGCGTTAATTAGCTCCTCCTACTAGGAAAGAGAAATTAGACCTTCCGGGATATAAGTTATATAGGACTCGGACTTAGGTATAAATAGCATAGGTTATTTGAAAATATAAGAAAGGTTTATTTAGTTAGTATTAATAATTATCTTCTTTGCACCCTTACTAATAGAGATATTATCGTACTTGCTTCGTCCTTGAAGAATAGCATTATCATTAAAGTAGCAAAGAATAGCTCTATCAATAAATTAGACAGCAGAAACAGTTGGGGTCCTGTGGGATCTGGCAGCTTGACGACGAGGTGGGCTGGGCGATGGATCCCTCATTAAGACATCACTCCTGGCGGACACTCCACGAACGTCTCTCATCGACACATCCAACCCAGCAGGCTGACGAGGACTTGGGCTTCGAATATCCCTCTCAATTTGGGATACTACCGGCGACTTTGGAGGTGGCGATGGCAAGGCCCTAATATCCCTAACCCCTTCCATCAGAGAAGATACCGCTCCTCTTCCTGTCCCTTCAGAACGTCCAGAGGGCCTAGGAGAAGAGGAAGTTCTGCCGAATATCATTTCCATCTCCTCGATACCCCTAGAAGGTACTACAGGTACAGTCTTAGATGCAGGCTTAGGAGCTATTGGCGATTTCTCTGGGATAGTTAAGCCTAGAGAGATAATACTCCCTCCCGTAGTCCCAGGTAGCTTAAGAATCCCCTTTTAAACCTCAAATCCTCTCTTCTTAAATATCTTAACGAGGTTGTTAGCTATAGTAAAGTTAACCTTTTAGTAGTCTAATCTATATATTATTATAGAGCAGAATATCTAACTAAAAGGGACAGTAGGATGAGGGATAATTTAATAAGTATCGGGGAGCTTCTTAAGATCAAGACTCTTCTAGCTGACTGGGGAGAACCCACTAAGATTGGTATAGAGATTTAATATTCTAAGTTTCTAGTCGGTAGTTACAAACCCATGCTCACAATTGTAGGAGAGGTCGATTTTTCGGCAGACCTTGTCCGTACCCTTGCTATATATCAGGTCCCGGATTCCAAGCTCCTTTATAATGGCACATCCAATAAAGCTTCTAACGCGCTCCAGATCCAAGTCCTAGTCCACAGTCTCCTTCTTCTTAGCAGCTTTTTCCTTCTTCTTTAGCTAGGGCGGGGGCTTTGGCTTGACGGCGCCGAGCTTCTAGTTGCGAAATCATAGCTTAAAAGGGACACTTACCGGCTTATCGTTCGGGTCGTTAAAGATTAGTCTCTTCATTAGGATCCCTCCCTATATCTACTGCTTATCTAGGCCAACTATACCGCAAATAGTTAAAGTTATAAGAAAGACTACAAAAAAGCCACACTCCCAACCGTAGGACTGGGCAGAGGCTGGCATACTGTAGACAGAGAAGTTAAATGGGGTACTATTGACAGTCATAATCTCCCTCCAGGCAACCCCAGTAGCCCTAAATTATTCCTTTCTTTAAAGTTCTATTATATTGAAGAGGGAGAGTTGCTTTGCCCTAGCATCCTAGATATAGTCAATCCAATGATGTTTGTTAGCGAAGTTGATGATGCCAATAAGGTAGCCGCAGTTAAACATAGTCTCTCAAATCAGTCGGAAGCTCACCGTAGGACGGTTCTTCGTAACCAGAACGCCTTCTTTTAGGAGCTTGGTCGAGAAGGTCTCTTTCCCCTATTCGTTGGCTCGAAGGACATGAGTTTCGAGGTCAAGGCTAAAAGGTGCAACAGCCACAACATCCCTTATTCCATAGGTCATAATTCATAGGAAAGCAATAAGACCAAAGTTAGCAGAGAGATTCTTATACTGAAGCTTGTACTGGAGGCCCCAGAAATCGCCACAGTAACCTTCCCAAGTCCTAAAATCAATCTCGCTAAAGTTGGGGTGCAGTCTGACAGTCTTAGCCCAAGCTTTAATCAATTCCTCATCCCCTAGAATAGGACGCTCAGTCTTTTCCTCATCCCAATAAGACCAATCCAGGCGGGAAGAATAGAGAGTTGGTTATTGGCTGACTTTTTTAGTCAGTAATATCTTTATAAGGTTCTCTTTATAGTAGAAAAAGCTCCCTTTTCCACCTTCCCCTTGGATAGTTCCTTTGTAGAGAGTTAGCAATTTCATACTGCAGTAAAATTGCGCCTTCTTCTTTATAGCCTTATTGGAGGTGGCTATTACATGCTAAGTTCCATAGTATAGCAATAGATTTAAAAGTCAGTTGGTAAGAAGAAAAGCAACTAATGAGATAGTAGTCGAGGTTTGGGCTTAATAGAAAAAGAATTGCAGCTTGGAGGCGCAAGTTATAGTATTGATTTCTACAGCAGCTGGAGTGCGAGAAGAGTATGTAGGTATTGGTGTTTTCGAGAGACTGAGTATTCGAGGGTCTTTTGTACTATGGGGCTCGGTTCTCTTTATAACGGTAAATTACAGAGACAGCAGTCGTTGTTTTCCAGACCTTCTCACTGATTTTCCTTTGTAAGTTATGGCAAACAAGAACACCCACTTCTTGCAATTCTTGCACTTTGTAATAAAGCCCTGCCGGATTAGCCCTAAGGTAGGGTTCTTTGAGCTTGAAGCCTCTTTCTCTTCTACATCACCAACATCAGGGTTTCAGCCTCATCCTGCCGCAGACTTCCCTTCTTTTTCTATCATCGCGACATCGGGATAGCCTCTGCAATGGCATCTCCTCAAGATAAGCTGATTATTCTTTCCGGCCTCCCTCGAGAGAAGCTTCCTGATGTTCGTCATCTAGCTGAGTGTAGAGTTAAGGCCGATAAGTTCTCGCGACGGTCTGGTACCTTTTGGAAGGGTCGAGACGCCGTTCTCCTTCGCTCCTTTTCTTTATTGAAGCTTAATTTGACTCCAGCCTTAATAAGGTCCTTTATCTCCCTTCTGTTAATTTAGGTTATCTAATAAGATACTTTTCCAGGTCCTGAAGTCATTCCGGGTTTGGATTTGTAGTTTCCAGGCCCTCGACTGACTGGGCCGCCCTCTATACGTCGAGTTGGATATCCAATTTCCTACCACCAGCTCCAGAGAGGCCTTCCTCGTCTGGTTCCTCAAGCAGCTTCCTTTTCGAGACTCATCCATCACAGCAGGAATAGGACTTTTAGCCACCCGCACTCTCCAGCAGGTCTTTATCCCGGCAGACTGGGCTCATCCTAGAGGGTACTTCTTCATAAACCTTCCTTCCTACCCATATCTTATCAAGGCCCTCATTGTCGCCTTTATCGGGGTCATCAATCCGGTTATGTATCGCTGTTGTATCTACAGCTATCTCTCAACAACCACCCGCTTCAACAAACACATTCTGACCCCTTTCCATGCCTACATTTCGGCCCCGGGATATATGAATGGGGTGTGTGCTAATTGCCTTTGGCATAACCGGACCGATTGCGACTGGAAATGCCTCCATGGGTACATGGCTTCAGGTCGTCAGAAAGGTCCTCGGAAATTTCCTCTTGGTAGTCGAGCCACAAACCCGAATATGTCGACCTCTTATACTTCTGACGTCTTCAATTCTTGTTCTTGCCCTCGGATTATTGGCGAATATCCCTCTGAGGCTGGCGGTGCGTCTGACCTTGAGATTTGTCGTCGGGCTTCCCAGGTCTCTGCTCAGGCTTTTCGCAATGGGTACCGGGCTCTTTAGTTAGTCTTAATGGGTTTCTTTCCCTGTTAAAGGAAAAGAAAAAAAAAATAGTCTTTTTTTCCGTTCTTGTAAAATAGGTAGTCAATAGCAAATGCCTAGGGAATGACATTACCACTTGGTTGGCACCACCCTTATCTCTTCTAGATAGATTTCCTCTATACTGTTCCTCTTTGTCGTGAGATGTTGTTCATAGCAGCCGGACTCCTTCTGGGTAGTTATTTTGTTAGATCTTGGCTGTCTAGACTCTTCGCGTCCAAGTCTCTCCAGTGACCCTGTATCTTGCCTCCCCTATCCGCCTCCCTATATAGCAATACTACTATCCCCAGCCAAAGCTGTATCCCCAAACATCTAATAAGATATTCTAAACTGCTTCATACTGGTTTCTAGCCTCCTTATTCATCTCTAGAATACAAACCTAGAAGTCCCCCCTAGGTCCCCTCCATGGACAAAGAACAGGCGCAGAATAGGCCTTATCTAATAAATCCTCTATCTTACTGAGTTGATATATCTTATTATAAAATAGTTCTTCCTCAGATTCTTCATCCTCATCTTCAGTAGGAGGTCCCCAAACCTCTGCATCATCAGGGCTGGCCCACCACCCTTGATCATCCTTCATAAAGGCCTTAATCCAGTCCCCATAGCAGGTTCCAGCTATCTTTATACTATCTAGAGTCTTAAGAATATAGGTTCTAGTCTCCGCTAAAGCCTCTCGGATTCTATAGGATCCTTGCCATTTTGGCTTAAGCTTGGCTGCAGTAGAAAGGTTATGGTAGTTTTTAATATTATAGAGAAGGACAAGATCCCCTAGCAATAGTGGCTTTTTCCTCAGCTTAAAGGCATTAGAAGTAGTTATTTTTCTTGCCAGGTTCTCTCGATATTCCTTGACCTTCTATCTAGCAGCTTCCTAATTTTCTTATTATCTTTCTAGGATTCGGATTTAAGCTAAGATAATATCTTCCTTAATATAGACCTCATCCTAATTAATAAGTCTCTAGGTTGGGACTTTAATTTCTATAGGGAGGATAGGTTCCCATCCATAAAGAAGCTAAAAGGGTAAGCATCCATAAAACCCATAAATTGTAGATCTATCTACAAATAGAGCCTAGTCTACCAACTCAACCCACTTCCCTAGCCGGCTAAGCTTCTTAAAATAGTTAACTAAGGATATATAACTAACTTTAATTAGCCTATTTAACTTGGAATTATAGAAGGAAATCTTAGCTATTATAATGCCCAGGTCATCTAGCTTATTAGGGATTCCTTTTGCCAGCTTGCTTCTATTATCAGTAACAATCTTCACAGGCATACTATAGCAATAGAAGATCCTTCTAATAAACTTCCAGACATTTGCTGCATTTAGAGCCTTACAAGGCATAGCTTTAACCCATCCCATCAGATTGCATCTAGCTTCCAACAGGAACTTCATCCCGTCGTTATCAGAAAGGTATTATCCGTCGATATGGATCTTCATCATAGGATACCAAGGAGTAGTAGGCTTAGCGATTTCTACCGGTCTCTAGGCAGCATAAACCTAACAAATTGGACAAGTCTTAATAATTAACTCTACCTTGCATCTAATACCTCGCCAGAAATAGCAGCGGGAAACAATATAGACAGTCGCCTCTCTGCCTTTATAACCCCTATGATGGTGGGAGGTTATAATAAGATGCTTCTAAAGCTCCTCATTATCAACAACAAGCATAGGGTCGTCTCCTAGGCTCAGTGCTCGTCTCCAGATATAACCTCCATAAACATAGAATTATATTGCCTTTTTCCTTAGTCGCAAGAAGTCTCTTGCTAAGAGTCCCTCCAGCCGCTTTAGGGAAGTCAAATAGTTCCCTAGGACTAGCCATTCACCTATGTAGCTATCTTCCAGTTTCTTATCTTCAGGGCCAAAAAGAACAAGATTGAGGCGGGCGTCAATCTCATCCTCAATATTGCCTTTAGCTTCTCGGTCTAGAAGGTTAAAAGGTCCCTTCTCTTTCCTTAAAAGACTATTAGCTACTATGTTCTTCTTTTCTGGAATGTATCTGACAGTAAAGTCAAAGAGCAAGAGATAGCTAATCCAGCAGACGACCATTAATCCTAATATATCATCAGCCCTATTATTAATCTAATTAACAAGGACCCTTGAGTTGGTCTTCAAAGTAAAGGGATATCTATAGATTTGCATCCTTATATATCTAATAGCATAAAGAGCTTCCTTACACTCTAGCTTTATCGCATCATACCTCTTCTCAGCATCTAACTAGGTACCAGATTCAAACCTTATAGGGTGACGTTTTCCATCTATTATCTATATTAGAATAGCTCCCCAGCCTAGGATGCTAGCATTAATTATTAGAATAACCTCTCTAGCTTCTTTAAATAGGTTGAGAGAGATAAGAATAGGAGCCGTAACAATCCTCTCCTTTAATACCCTCATCGCTTCCTTCTCGTTATCTTCCTACTTCCAGGGGACATCCTTCTTTAGTAGCTCGGTAAGGGGCTTAGCAATCCAAGCATACTTTTCAATCCAGATTCTATAATATCCTGAGATGCCTAAAAAGGCCCTAACTCCAGTCTAGTTAAAATAATCTTCCCATTTAACAATCTTCAGGATCTTATCCTCTATGGGCTTGCAACTATAAGTCCCATAAAGATATCCTACCAAAGAAGCGGCCTTTTAGCAGAAGAATGACTTCTTTGCAGCAATTAAACAGCCTAAAAGCTCTACATTGACCAGAACAGCATCGAGGTTTATCAGGTGCTCCAGGACATACCGTCTAACACCAGGAAGGGACTCCTCCCCTTTGTAGTCCTCAACAGGGCTCTTAACACCAATATCATCTAGAAAAGCTCTAGCTATATCAGGCATCAAATCGAAAAGGATCCTCATTATAATTCTAGTAAATTGGGCTACTGAGTTTGTAGCTTCCTGAGGGAGGATGCATAGCCTAAATAGACCAATTGGCATTTGGAAGGTCGTCAAATTCCTGCTTTTTACGTCCAGGGTAATCTAATTGTATCTAGAAAAGAAGTCAAGAACTAAAAGAATCTAATACATTCCAAATTCAACAAAGAAGTCTTCAGTTCTAGGAGGAATCATTCCATCCCTGATAGTATAGATATTATACCTCTTAGCTGAGTTAATAAGGCACAAGCTCCTATCTTTCTTAGCTACAAGCATCCACCAGTTCCTATAGGAAGCATGACTTTCTTCAATAATCTTATTCTTCAGTCTTTCCTTCAGCAGCTAGATAACCTTAGCCTTAATTCCATAAGGGATAACTACATTACCACACTGCCAGGCTGTATGGGGTGTAATTTTAATAACTTATAGGAGAGCAATTCTAAAGTCAAATTCCCCTTTTTCCTTAAAGGTCCAAGCTAGGGCTTCTTTCTGATTAAAGATAATTTGACGGAAGATTTCCCTCTTAGCATCATTAAGAGTATCCTTAGTCTGCCCTATCAGAACGTCCAATCTCTCGCCGAAGAGCCTTGATCCCTTCTTAATCTTTAAGAATTTAAAAGTAATATAATTAGAGAAAGGGGAGTCCTTTTCTAGGTTCCCTTTAACCTCATCCCATTTCTTATCGCGCCAGAACAAATCCCCTTCAGGCGTAGATCCATTAGAAGGGATGTCATTTCTAGGCTAGACCTTATCAGCCTTCCTTTTATACATAGTATTGACCCGGACTATTATATCCTCTTGGCTGCTATTTGGAGCGTAAGTTTTCTTAACTCTAGACTATATTAAATCGTTTTCCTTCATCTAGTCTTTAAGAATAATCTTAAAGACTTTTTGTACTGTCTTTTTATTGACGTATCTAATAAGATACTCAACATCATCCTTTTCTAAATTGTAGACGTCATTAATAGCCGGTTTAGAGGGTTCTAGTATACTTATAATAACCCCCCTGGTGCTGCTTTATTAGCAACTAGGTTGACTCTTTATATTCTGCCTGCAACTAGAGATATCAGGTTGATAGTCCCTAGCTTGCAGCTTATTAACATCTCCCCAGGAATAGTACTATAATTAAAGATAACCTTTATACTTTAAAAGAAAGACATCTCTAGAATAAAGAAAATAGAAACTACTAATATAGGGGTTATATATATCTTCTATTCTATAAAGATATTACCTATATAGATATTAGTAGTAACAATTCTAGCTATTGGAATTAAGTTTTTTAAGAAGGATATAATCTTAGCTAAGCTAGATGTAAATAGGAGCCGGCTAGTCTTAATAATGTAATCTAAGATGATATTGCCTTCAGCATCCATATCTAGAATAGCTTTCTAGGTATAACTATTAGGATGCCCAAGTCTCACCTAAAGCCTTAAAAGGTCTTGGCATATTAACCACAGCTATATATTAATATTCTAGATAAGGTTTATAAAAGCCTTCATTATTATCTCATTAAGTACTTTGCAGTCAGACTTCCTCAATTCCTTCCTATAGGAGACCTTCTTTATAGTTTTATTGTTCATCACAATATAATCTCCTAGAGTAAGAATAGAATCACCCTGGGAAGTTGGAGGGTCTTTTTCCTAGCCAATCGCAACCATAAGAACTCCACATTACCAAGCCAAATCATCGAAGTAAATCTCAGAAAATAGCAGGCCGTCTCGTATTACAAGCTCCGGCTCTTCCCGTCCCTTAAGAATGTTTATTTCGACGTTCCCTAGCAGCCTTTTCTTATAGGAAGGAGTAGAATCTAGCCAGACAGTGTCGGTAACGCCATCAGCTATATCGACTAATTCCTTTGCTATTAAACGGCTAAATTCCAGGTTGTAATAGATTATCTAAGGGATTGAGACTGGGATTTTTGTGTTTAGGACCTTTTATCTTAGGGAAGCTCTATTCTCAATTAAAGTAGTGTGATGGGTATCTCTATTAGAGGCATTCTTATTAATGGCTTCTACTAGCTTCCAGTCCTCTAGTTTAGTCGGCAGAAGAATTCTTGGCGTGACTACTAGAGGGATCGGGTAGTCTCTTTCTACTTCTTTAGGCAGTTCTTTAACTCTAGCCCTCTTGATGATAGTAGTGTTAAAGGTGATATTGTTATTTAGAATTACAGGAGGCTTGCTATTGTCTTTTTTGTTAATAAGAATGATGTTAATAATAGGCTCGTCATCCTAACTGTCAGTAGGCTTTCCAGTCCTGCCGCTGACCTTGTTGATAATTAAGTCCTCAAACAGCGGGTTCTGGTTTCTTTTTATGAAGTCCATCACCAGGTCTTATTCCTCCTAGTTGGGAGACCAGTTTCAAATTGCAAAGCCGGACATTAGACCTTCCAAGAAACTGGCAGCTGGGGACTTTAGGAACTTTTAGATCCACAGAACAACCAGC